CTATTTATTTCCCTATTTATTCCCCTATTTACTTCCCTATTTTTTCACCATTTATTTCCCTATTTATTTCCCTATTTATTTCCCTATTTATTTCCCGTATTTATTTCCCTATTTATTTCCCTATTTATTTCCCGTATTTATTTCCCTATTTATTTCCCTATTTATTTCCCTATTTAGTTCCCTATTTTTTCCCCTATTTATTTCCATAGTTTTTCCCTATTTCTTTCCCTATTGTTTCCCTATTTATTTCCCTATTTTTTCCCCATTTATTTCCCAATTTATTTCCCGTATTTATTTCCCTATTTATTTCCCTATTTATTTCCCTATTTATTCCCCTATTTTTTCCCTATTTATGTTCCCTATTTATTTCCCTATTTATTTCCTTATTAATTTCCCAATTTTTTCCCTATTTATTTCCCTATTTATTTCCCTATTTTTTCCCTATTTATTTCCCTATTTATTCCCCTATTTTTTCCCCTATTTTTTCCCCATTTATTTCCCTATTTATTTCCCTATTTATTTCCCTTTTTTTTCCCTATTATTTCCCTTTTTTCCCCTCTTTATTTCCCTATTGTTTTCCCTATTTATTTCCCTATTTACTTCCCTATTTATTTCCCTATTTTTCCCCTATTTTTTTCCCTATTTATTTCCCTATTTATTCCCCTATTTTTTCCCTATTTAGTTACCTATTTATGTCCCTATTTATTTCCCTATTTATTTCCCGTATTTATTTCCCTATTTATTTCCCTATTATTTCCCTATTTATTTCCCTATTTTTTCACCATTTATTTCCCTATTTATTTCCCTATTTATTTCCCTATTTATTTCCCGTATTTATTTCCCTATTTTTTCCCGTATTTATTTCCCTATTTCTTCCCTATTTATTTCCCTATTTTTTCCCTATTTATTTCTTTATTTTTTCCCTATTTTTTCCCGTATTTATTTTCCTATTTATTCCCCTATTTATTTCCCCAGTTATTCCCCCATTTTTTCCCTATTTATTTCCTTATTTATTTCCCTATTTTTTCCCGTATTTATTTCCCTATTTCTTTCCCTATTTCTTCCCTATTTATTTCCCTATTTTTTCACCATTTGTTTCCCTATTTTTTCCCGCATTTATTTATTTCCCTGTTTCTTTCCCTATGTTTCTCTATTATGTCCCTTTTTTTCCATAGTATTTCCCTATTTATTCCCTTATTTACGTCCCTATTTATTCCCTATTTATTTACCTATTTATTTCCCCATGTGTGCCCCTATTTTTCCCTATTTATTTCTCTATTTATTTCCTAATTTATTTCCCGTATTTTTTTCCCTATGTTTTCCCTATTATTTCTTTTTTTTCCCGCATTTATTTCCCTATTTATTTCCCCTATTTATTTCCCTATATATTTCCCTATGTTTCTCCTTATTTTTTTCCCCATTTATTTCCCTATGTATTCCCTATTTATTTCCCCATTTATTCCCCTATTTTTTCCCTATTTATTTCCCTATTTTTGCCCTATTTTTTCCCGTATTTATTTCCCTATTTATTCCCTATTCATTTCCCTATTTATTTCCCTATTTTTTTCCCTATTTATGTTCCTATGTATTTCCCTATTTTTTCCCGTATTTATTTCCCTATTTATTTCCCAATTTATTTCCCTATTTCTTCCCTATTTATTTCCCTATTTATTTCCCTATTTTTTCCCTATTTATTTCCCGTATTTATTTCCCTATTTAGTTCCCTATTTATTTCCCTATTTTTTCCCTATTTATTTCACTATTTATGCCCCTAATTATTACCATATTTATTTCACTATGTATTTCCCTATTATTTCCCTATTTATTTCCCTATTTATTCTCTATTTATTTCCCTATTTAGTTCCCGATTTATTCCCTATTTTTTCCCGTATTTATTTCCCTATTTTTTCCCGTATTTATTTCCCTATTTTTTCCCGTATTTATTTCTCTATTTATTTCCCTATTTATTTCCCTATCTATTGCCCTATTTTTTCCCCATTTATTTCCCAATTCATTTTCCTATTTATTTCCCTAGTTGTTCCCTATTTATTTTCCTATGTATTTCCCAATTTTTTCCCTATTTATTTCCCTATTTATTGCCCTATTTATTTCCCCATTTACTTCCCGTATTTATTTCCCTATTTTTTCCCTATTTATTTCCCTATTTATTTCCCTATTTATGTCCCTATTTTTTCCCCCTATTTCTTCCCTATTTCTTGCCCCATTTTTTCCCTAATATCCCTATTTTTTACCTATTTATTTCCCCTATTTGTTCCCTATTTTTCCCCTATTTATTTCCCTATTTATTTCCTAATTTTTCAACTATTTATTTACCTATTTAAAATTCCTTTAGCTTTTCAGTATTTTTTCCCTAGTTATTCCCCTATTTTTTCCCTATTTATTTCTCTAGTTATTTCCCTATTTATTTCCCTATTTTTTTCCCTATTTATTTCCCTATTTATTTCCCTATTTATTTCCCTATTTTTTCCCTATTTTTTTTCCTATTTATTTCCCTATTTTTTCCTTATTTATGTCCCTATTTATTTACCTATTTATTTCCCTATTTAGTTCCCGTATTTATTTCCCTATTTTTTCCCGTATTTATTTCCCTATTTTTTCCCGTATTTATTTCTCTATTCATTTCCCTATTTTTTCCCCTATTTATTTCCCTATTTTTTTCCTTATTTTTCCCGTATTCATTTCCCTATTTATTTCCCTATTTTTTTCCCTATTATTTCCCTTTTTTCCCCTATTTATTTCCCTATTTATTTCCCTATTTATTTCCCGTATTTATTTCCCTATTTTTTCCCTATTTATTTTTTCTATTTATTTCCCTATTTTTTCCCGTATTTATTCCCCTATTTATTTCCCAATTTATGTCCCGTATTTATTTCCCTATTTATTTCCCTATTTTTTTCCGTATTTTTTCCCTATTTTTTCCCTATTTATTTCCCGTATTCATTTCCCTATTTATTTTCCCTATTTTTTCCCTATTTATTTCCCTATTTATTTCCCTATTTATTTCCCGTATTTATTTCCCTATTTATTTCCTATTTATTTCCCTATTTATTTCCCTATTTATTTCCCGTATTTATTTCCCTATTTATTTTTCCTATTTTTTTTCCCTTTATTATTTTCCCCCTATTTGGTTCCCTATTTATTCCCCTATTTTTTCCCCCTGTATTTATTTCCCGTATTTATTTCCCTATTTATTTCCCTATTATTTCTATCCCCTATTTATTTCCCTATTTTTTCCCTATTTATTTCCTATTTATTTCCCTATTTTTTTCCGTATTTATTCCCCTATTTATTTCCCAATTTATGTCCCGTATGTATTTCCCTATTTATTTCCCTATTTATTTCCCTATTTATTTCACTATTTATGCCCCTATTTATTACCATATTTATTTCACTATGTATTTCCCTATTATTTCCCGTATTTATTTCTCTATTCATTTCCCTATTTTTTCCCCTATTTATTTCCCGCAGTTAGTTCCCTATTTTTTCCCGTATTTATTTCCCTATTTTTTCCCGTATTTATTTCCCTCTTTTCTTCCTTATTTATTTCTCTATTTATTTCCCTATTTATTTCCCTATTTATTTCCCTATTTTTTCCCGTATTTATTCCCCTATTTATTTCCCTATTTAGTTCCCGTATTTATTTCCCTATTTATGTTCCCTATTTATTTCCCTATTTATTTCCTTATTAATTTCCCAATTTTTTCCCTATTTATTTCCCTATTTATTTCCCTATTTTTTCCCTATTTATTTCCCTATTTATTCCCCTATTTTTTCCCCTATGTTTTCCCCATTTATTTCCCTATTTATTTCCCTATTTATTTCCCTTTTTTTTGTTCCCTATTATTTCCCTTTTTTCCCCTCTTTATTTCCCTATTTATTTCCCTCTTTATTTCCCTATTTATTTCCCTATGTTTTCCCCTATTTTTTCCCGTATTTATTTCCCTATTTTTCCCCTATGTATTTCCTTATTGTTCCAATGTTTTCCTATTTATTTGCCATCTTTCCTTATTTATTTTCCTATTTATTTCCCTATGTTTTCCCTATTTATTTCCCTATTTTTTCCCTAGTTATTTCCCTATTTATTTCCCTATTTATTTCCCGTATTTATTTCTCTATTTTTTACCTTCTTTTTCCCCTATTTCTTGCCCCATTTTTTCCCTATTATTTCCTTATTTTTCCATCCATTTTTTTCCCTATTTATTTCCCAATCTTTTCCCTATTTATTTCCCTATTTAGTTCCCGTATTTATTTCCCTACTTTTTCCCGTATTTATTTCCCTATTTTTTCCCGTATTTATTTCCCTATTTTTTTCCCTATGTCTTCCCTATTTCTTGCCCCATGTTTTCCCTATTATGTCCCTATTTTTTCCCTATTTATTTCCCCTATTTTCTCCCTATTTTCCCCTATTTATTTCCCTAGTTATTTCCCTATTTATTTCCCAATTTTTAAACTATTTATTTCCCTATTTATAATTCCTTTTGTTTTTCAGTAGTTTTTCCCTATTTATTCCCCTATGTTTTCCCTATTTATTTCTCTATTTATTTCCCTTTTTATTTCCTTAATTATTTCCCCTTTTTTTCCCTATTTATTTCCCTATTTATTTCCCTATTTATTTCCTTATTTATTTCCCTATTTATTTCCCTATGTATTTCCCTATTTTTTCCCCTATTTATTTCCCTATTTATGTCCCTATTATTTCCCTATTTTTTCCCTATTTTTCCCTAATTATAATTTCTTTATTTCTTCCCTATTTATTTCCCTATTTATTTCCCTATTTTTGCCCTATTTTTTCCCGTATTTATTTCCCTATTTATTCCCTATTTATTCCCTATTTATGTCCCTATTTATTTCCTTAGTTGTGTGTCCAATAAGTGTATAATAAGATCCAATAAGATCATAAAAGATCCAACTTCTCATTCCTAAGATTTCTAAGATTCCCCTAATGTCATGACTAATGTCATGACTGCTGGACCAGCTGCTGGAGCTACAGCATCTTGAACAGCTTGAAGACATGGTGATGGACCCAGCGCCAGCAAAGCTGCAAGCTCTGGACATGTCTCCCTGAAGCGACAATGGCGCGATGGCTCGGCCAACTTAAAAGATACATCTGGGCTATTTTAATGATACTGTGATACTTAACATATCTTAAAATGATACTTGAATGATCATCAACTATAGTAACTATAGATAACTATAGTTTCTGATTTTGTTGGATGCACTTCATGCACTTCACTGGTGGTGTTTTTTGGATGCACTTCACGTGTAACGAAAATCTATCTTCCAATCGGAAAGTGCCTCATGCATCATAGCAAACTGTCAAGGAGGATCCTTCTGGGTCCGACATGGTAGAAGCGTTGGAGTGTGGGTGCAACTATTTTAACTTGGTGCCTTGGTGCAGCTTCATGTCGTTTCATCTGTCAAGAGACATAAGAGACCAAAATTTGTCTATGATAGTCATGATGTAGAAACACAATCTGTGATTCTGTGAGTGTGTTTTTGGATGGCAACTGCCCATCTTGTCTTGCCCTCCTGTGCTCAGCATATTTTTATGTGCTGGTTGGAGCCAGCGGCTGGCCGGTTGGGCACACGTGGGCAATCTGGATAGATCTGGATGTTTTCAGGCCACATCTATCGTTCTAAAGATGCTTGTCCCTGCTTGTGTCTCCATCTCTGGCATCTCAGGCTGTGATTCCACTTCCGATTGTCCATCCCAGAGTCCCAGAGTCTACACCATTTGTTTAAGTTGATGGCATGGTTTTCTTATCTTCCGTGCAGTGAAGCTTGTCCAGACTAAAAGATGCGGCTCTGCAACAAATTCGAGGCTCACACAAAGGCCATGGCATCCTTCAATGCTGGACCTGCTGCCTGCTCCAAGTTACATCAGCAGCTAGCGCTTCACTCGGGCCATTGACCACTTTGACAATACAGCGAGTGTGGTGGATTATGTGGATTGCATGATACCAGGTGTCATTCAATCTGAGTAAGCCAACTGATGATCACATGCGTTGGATTTGCATGTACTTTTGATCTTGATACCGATTGATACCTGTAGAGTCAGCCGCAAGAAACATGTTCAATGTTCAATGAGCTCAGATTTAGAACTTTAGAATAAAATTGACAAACAAGAATGGTGGCTGACAGGCATCTAAAGTCCATGAGTGCGGATGCAAAATGGCGCAAATACTTACTCCCTCTGACGATCCTTACCTCAGCTAGTGCAATGGACACCCTTCTCGCCACGATCTCAACCTGTCAAGTTGAGACAGGGTCAAGTGGCCTGTAGTGTTGCAAATGTCAGAGCCCAGCTATCAAACTCTGAGTCCGACTGAGTCACTGTGAATCTTCGCCTGCCGCTCTGTTGGCTTACAGCCAGCACGTAGCAAGCCCTCAAGTTCGTCAGGGAAAATCGAGTCAGAACGTAAAAATCTGATGGACAAGTGCAGGAAGTGACTGTAAAGTTCAGCAAACCATAGCAAATCGATCTACAAACTGTCCCAGAGGTGGCAGGTGGTTCCCTTTGAAATGCGCGGCAGCCAAGGCACTCCTAACCACGAGCCAAAGCGGCCATTGAGCTCCAAGCCGCCATCCTGACATATCTGACATCTCCAAATATCACAACCCGTCACCACTGCAACAAATCCCAAAGGATCAGCGCCATCAGCGCCATCAGCGCCTTGGGCCCATCTGCTTCTAAAATGGGCCTCGCCATCGCCAGCATATCGCTGAACACCACACTGGGACCACTGGGGATCCAACGCCAGCAGGGCCTCAGTGGTTCTGGTTGGGTCAACTGGTTGGTCAACTGGTTGAGTGAACGAAATGAGTTGGAAATCGATGGAAATCCAACAAGCAAATTCCCAATGTTCCCAATGTTCCCAAAGGACCAGCGCCTTTTTGAAGCCCTCCATGAGCGATGCCCAATTCCCTCGAGGCCAAGTCCTGCTTTGTTGCTTTGTCGTCTGTGAAAACAACGTGCCACCAGAAAAGGATGAAAGAAACATGTGTTGCACGACTCTCGCACAACTCTCAAATGCTGTCATTGCTTCTGATAGAATTTTGGGAATGCTACGCTCAACTCACGGTGCTTGTATGCGCAAACTGGTCAAGAAGATAAACTCCTACAAGATTAGTGTGGAAACCACAGTAGACAGTACAATTTCGACAGAAAAGCTCCCAACTCTTGAAGTTGCGGAGACCAATGGCCAGCTCAGAGAATGCTCCTGGCCATTCGCTTGCAAGCATCTGCTGCTGCTTTTGCTTCCACCTCGGAACGTTAACATACCGCGATCACTGCTTGCTGCACGTGCTGCACATGACATGCAACCAAGCGCAGTGTCCGAGGTCTGAGAGAGCCACAATCCTTGACTTGGCATCAGCGATAGCAAGTCTGGCTTTGGCGATTGCTCGATCCTCGGTTGAAGCTGTGCCATTTTTCAACTCAACTCTGTCACAGCTTCGCTCACAGCTTCGCTATGCTGGCTATGCTCCTCTTTGCGGCGCTGTAACGCCTCTTCCTCATCTGCCTGCCAAGCAGATTTCTGCAGTGTAAATCCAAAAGGAAAACACAGCACCATACGATACTGAGACCCAGAGGCGTAGAGAAGTGGGCCGGGCCTTAGAAGCTGCTTTGGCATCCTCCTTTCCCTTCTTTTCTTCTTGGCCTCATCGCAAAAGGTTTGCGCATTGATCACCTCTGGATTTGCGTGGAAATTGGGCATCAGAGGACATACCATATGCATACCACAATAGTGGGGAAAATGATGATATTGTAGATTGATTTTAAAAAAAACACACATTACTCTGTAATATGGTTTATACTATTGCCATTTATATAGTGTTATTGTATATAATATTACTATAGCCAATAGATATTTATATACTATTGCTATTGATATTTATATCCTATTGGTTCATATCATGAATGGATTGTGAATTCGCATGGCAATTCGCATGGCAATTGTGGGATTTGAGGGTGCCTGATGTAGGACAACATAGGACAAGCCATCTGTCACTGAGCGCCCAACGCGGTGCAGGACTCTTGGCTGCCTCTCCACCTAAGCCACAACAGGGAGTCTTCAAAGGTCAATGGCAGATCCAGTTCAATCATATTTGCAATCAATATCCAGTGGAATCCTCAAATTCTCATCTAAATTGTCTGACTTCACATTTGATGTCGAGTTTCAGAGGTTGCTATGCCTGGCCGAACCATGGGCTTGCATTATTTTGCCTCTGCGCTGTGAGACACTTGGGACAGCCTGACAGCCCTCAGTGATATGGTGACATCAGCATCTGTTCAACCTGTCACGCCACGTGGAACACGTTTATTGGTGTTCATACTAGATATCTCCAGAGAGCTTTCTGACGAAAGGGCAATCTTCCAATGGTTGTTTTTTCCCGAGTGCAATATGCCAATCAAAACTAATTATAGTTACTATAGTTACTATAGTTACTATAGTTACTATAGTTCATAAATATCAATCAAATTCAATAACCAAATAGTTCAGCAGCACATTTTTTTTCACAAGAAGCGATGCCACTTGTGCCGTTGCACGCAGCACTTCGCCATGGATGCCATGGATGCCATGGATGCCATGGGCAATGGAGCCATGGCCTTGGGTGTTTAACGTAGACTCAACTCCTTGGGAAAAATTGAAAATACTTCGAATGTTTGAATAAAGAATGCTTATGGCTTATGAATGATTATATTTGATTATAGTCAATATGATAACGAAACAAAATCATGATCATCCTGCTTAGATCTATATATATATATATTTATTTATTTATTTATTTGTTTGCTTGTTTGTTTTTTGGGGGGGCGAATTGAAATGCATGGCAAAATATCTCTCAAATCTGATGGCACTCTTGAGTTGCGAGGATAATTAGCGACACTTAACATTTCAGCAAAAGTGGCCGGCAAGGGCAAGGGGTAGTGCATCATGTCTGGCTTCGCCCTCGTACGAATCATCTGCCTTTGCACAAGCTGCAGGTTGGTCAGATTTGGTTTCAACATGTTTTAACAGATGTTTTTAAATATATGTATATATATATTATCATTGTTCTTATTTTTTATTTATGAAAAATGGCTTTAAAGATGTTTTAACTATATGAGCAATCTCGAAAACCCTAGGTTCACGGAAAGGACATCCACAAATTTGGGAAGGTCCCATCGCTTACCACACGTTTGTACAATAATGATATATGGTAAACTTGGGGGGTATCGCTAATTTGGGAAGGTCCCATCGCTTACCGTGTGTTTTTAACAATTTCCATCAATTTCCATAAACCAATGTCCGTCCAATACATATTTAGTATTGCCGGGGTTTTTGCATGTTTTTGCGGTGGCTCATATGAAGTATAGGGAAGTCGGCCCTTCTTAAACCAAGGAAACCTTTGAGCCTCAGGATTGTCAGCGCATTGTGCCGCAATCGATTCGTGATCAAATCTTTTGCCTCGGCCATTTCCGGAACCAACACCACTTGAGATGAGTGTCACTGTCTTCCTGATGTTTCTTCTCATGAAATTCAAGAACTCCAGGCTTTAGTTGCTACATGTTGCTACTGTACCCTCTGAAAGCAACACAATGCAACACAATGCAAGACAATCCGACACATTTGAAGTGCAGGGAAACCGTAGGGAAGCCGCTGGACGACAAGTTGCTGCAGCACCGCGGGCACGATAGAGTTCCAGGACGAAGGGCTCTTTGGTCTTGCTGTCTTTGTACATCGGATAACCACAAACCTCGGCATGTTTTCGATGTTTCAATGTGCCAACGTTTTTGATGTTTTTGTCATGTTCTGCTTGAGATTTAAGGGTAATCCAGATATCCAAGCGGCTTTTCATGGTTTTCTATCATCCACTATCCCTTGCGGGCTGGACTTGCTGCTGATTCTGTGGCAAAATGCCAATGTTCCAAGCCACGAAATCGTCTCCTTCGTCGCCGCAGACCATTTCTCGGAAGCTTTGAATCTTTGAAGTCCTCGGGTCTTTCTTTGCAAAATCGTCGAACTTTGCAAGACTTCGTCTTCGTCCAAGACAAATAACCCAAAAAGATCACTGAGTTTTTAACAATCTGAATCCAGTGCATGCTAGAGCTTTACATAGCTTTACTAAACCCAGCACAATCCAGCCAAGTCTCATCCACCGCACTCCGACAATCAGCTCCGCCTAGCGATTTTCTGTAGGACCGTAGGAAACGAGTGAGGCTGTGTCAAACTCATGTTGACATACCGTCTCTTCATAGGTAAGTTCAACATGGGATGTTGTTCCATTCTGCCATATTCTGCCATTCAGATATGGGGAGAATCTCGATATATCTCGATCCAATGCCTCTGGGCAGGGCTCAACACCTGGGGCGCAACAAGTTTCGGCCAATTTTGAGAAAAGGCCTACGGGCCTAGCGGTGTGACAGTCCAACAACGCTGCCAAGTATCTTTGGAAGGAATTGTCAGTGGGACTTGGCACCACCGCACATGGCTGGGCAATATTCAGTGAGTGTCAATTGCCACTCCTATCTGCTTGCAAGTGCCTGGAGTTTTAAGTGCATGAAGCTTCATGGGACAATCGGTAGTATCAATAGCATGAATCGAAAGATTCCCTGCGAGAATTGAAGCGCTGCGCGGGCAGGTTTTGCTCATGCCACAGCCGCCACACCGTTACCAGGGGCCCCTTCCAAACATTTGACCACAAGATAACACCCTTGGGTGTTGAACTTGAGTCAAATGATTCTGATTGATTCTGGATGTTTCTGGCAGATGCATGGCTTGTGTAACTTCAAGAATCCAAGTTGGCATTGGGATGATTGGGATGGATGCGCAAATGAACAGGTCGCCCACGAAAAGAGATTCAAATATAGACAGTATAGATCATATAGACATAGATAATTATAAAGTAGTTACTTTAGAATCTTTAGATTGTATCTCTGTCTTCGTTGAGTTTGATTGATAAACGAGCACAGCTGTACCTTCTTGCCTCATCTTGCCTCATCTTGCCTCTGCAGCACTGTCCTTCAGACAAGCACAAGTCGGAGACGAAGTCGATTTGGTGCAGGGTTGATCAATGTCGATCACTCTCTGCGTAAGTTCGCTTTGGAACAAAATCCACCATGTTCAATGCCCCACAATGATGCCAGTCACAGCAACCCCACGGGACCCGTGCTCCTCAGTGATTTTCATCTGGCAATGCAGCGATGCATATTACCAATCGATGTGTCGTGGGATGTCACTGCTACCCTGGATCATCATAGATCTCAAGAATGATCAAGATTCAGGATAGATTTTGTACTGCAAATGCATAGATCAGTCAGAGATCAAGGGAATCGGAACACTGGTGTGTCACAGTCACATGGCCAGCTGTCAGTCTTGAAGACACTGAGATGAGATGGCTGCAGTTCTGAAGCTGTCGGGAAGCAGTGAATTTCCACATCAATTTCACATATCTTCAAATCTCAACAGCTTCAAACAACTCAAACAGATCCCAGTTGAGCTCTCCTGAACTTTAGTGAAGCCCCTCATGGCTGAGGTTCCTACTGGCCACGGTAGCATCAGGATCTTCGCCTCCGCCTTGAGCCCCTTCAGGCGCTTCAGCTGCTTCAGCTGCTGCTTCAGCTGCTGCTTCCTGCAAGTTGCACTTCAAGTTGCGGCACCGGCACGGATCCTACAAGTAAGGTCAATAAATGTCAACAAGGTCACCTTTTCCTAATTTGATTTTGTGAAATCTGGCAAGTTTCGGCCTCTTCTCTGAGTTTGGCTTCCTCCTGGGCAGTTCACGAGAAAGAATTCTAAGTAGATACCCATAGTGGCATCTATGTTTGGGCATCAACAGAATCAATTCCGGTATCAAAAACCACATTTCATCTTCAAGCATTTTCATATATTTTCATAATCCGTCAATATGTTTCAGCATTTTCCATCGTTTTCCAACATTTTTCATCCCCCAATCAGCACATCACCACACCACCACTGAGCCGCCGACCGCGGCGGCCGCTTCCACAGCCGCGGCCCGTTCCGCCGCGGCGCGCGCCTCGCGCGCCTCGCGCGCCTGGGCCACGGAGCTCTGCAGCGCCGGCAGCGCGGCATCCGCCGCAGTCAGCTGGAGCTCCTGAGATTTCTGGATTTCTGGTGGATGGTGGTTGGTTTAATGGTGGTTTAATGGTGGTTAATGATGTTGGTCAATGGTGGTTGAGTGAAGCCATTAAGTGGTGAAATCATGATGGTTATGATGGTTGATTAATGGTGGTTCATGATGGTGGACATTCCCAGGATGACAAGGTGGTTTATCACTGTTTACATGGATGAACATGTTGGATGATCATTGGTGAGCCAAATATGATCAACAAGCATGGTAAAGAGCCATGGTAACAAGCAACAAATGCATAAAATGATGGAAGGGAATGCTAAAATGGTGGGAATAGATTGAATAGATGCGACACAAAGGTTTTCTAATGCGGTTCCAGGTTGGTTCCGGGTTCCAAGATGGCTTCAGCATCCTTCGAAATGTCTTGCTTCCAAAAGAATGTCTTGCAAAATATGTTCCAAGTTTAGACCCAGAGATTCTGAAATCCATTGTGAAACATGTAGCAAACAGGATCTCTTGGATCTACGGATGCGGATGTAGATGATGGAATGGATTCGAATGGCACAGTCTACTTGATGGTTTTTTTTAAACTCTTGGGATGTGTTGATCAACTGGAGTGTCACCTACTCCATGAGATGTCGCTATCAAGGTTACATATGTTACATGTCCTCTCTTCACAATGTATAGAGACTTGGATTCCTCACAGTCTGAATCTGAAACACAAAGTTGCTGATTTAGAAGGTGCAGTTCATCTTCAAACAAAACATGGATACATACTAATATGGATATATGAATGAAATATTATGGGATCCTTCATGATCCAAGAATCTCCATAATATCATATATATATACATAATTATATATCATATATATCATATATATCATATATCATATATAATAATATAATATAATATACATATATATATATGATACTATAACTATATCAGTGTGTTTTCTTCGAATATCTTGGAATTGATTCAATGGACATGTGGTTTTCCCATTTTTTTCGCCCGAGGCCGGTGCGGCAGCTCTTGCCATCTCTTGGCAGGCTTCGGAACACAGCTCGGCCTTGTTCAGCCACAAATCCGGACGTTTTAACGTCTGCTAATTGTATGTAATTGTAATATTCACAGATTCTGAAAGAAGACTTATGGATTTTATAGATTTTATAGAGATTCAATATTCATCAATATTCCATATTTATTCAATGTTCATTTAATACTATCATTTATTACTATCGTAGATATTCATAGAATATTTGGATATTCATTTGAATTCCCATGCAAAGTTCGGAATGCAATTCTCATCCTTCGATCGACTGAGTGCACCACCCATGGGCTTCCACGTTCCGCCAGCAGCATCGCTAACCGAGGCTCGCCATACAAAGGTGCCCCTGGCGATGCCACGGGCTGTTTTCTATGGGATCTGATGTTTTTTGATGCGACTGTATGATACTGTAATACTGACCCATATTTAAATGAGAGCTTTAAATATCTTTAAATATGTTAAATGCTGTGAAACCACGGTTTACAATGTTTACATGTGTATGGAACTTGCATAGACTTTGTACCAGGAAGAATCAGTAGCAATTCGATATGGAATGGATCCCATTCCAAGTTCGATTCTTTACGAACCGTTGCCCGAGGTCAACGAATTCAAGGCTGCCTTCACCTTCCGGATGCCAAACTGCCTGCAATGCAAAGCTTCAAACTGCCATAGAAAAAACAAAAAAACAATGCAAAGATCCACAAAACACATCCCATCTGTTTGATGTGGATCTTGTGGACTTGGCCGCTTCCAACACGCACTTTTTAACATCCAAATCATTCGGACTCCGCAGCTTTGCTGCGGGTGCCTCAATGCGGTTCAATTGTATCGACTTGAAGCGGTGCGAAACTGTGCCAGGGTTCAAAAACATCGATTCGTTTTTGACTCATTCTGGTACACAGGTCTCATATGGTCTCATTGACCAAATGTTGGAGTTTCACATAAATGACATTAAATGACCCTAATGAATCACTAATGAATGGAGTCTGAAGGGTAATAGGCTGCTTGGAAAACAAACAGCTCGACTTGCCATGCCAAGCATCGTAGCTCTGCAGCTCGACTTGCCGCATTAGGAACCTGCAAGGTGCCATCAGCGCCATAACAAAGGACATAAAGTCAGGGTAAAATCTCCATCTAGAGACAAGACTCATTTCATATTCTTGGTTATATTAATAAATTATATTATATATTAGAGTTATCTCAGATATCTCCCATGAAATCACCACAAGAAATTACTAATATGGTGGGCATTGATCAGTCTTGATCAAGAAATAACCCCATTTTTTCGTGGTGAGATCTTCACGTTTGACGCCGGTGTCCCGTGGTGGGACCTCTGCCAGTGGCCCTTCAAAAAGCTCCGCCGCCCTGCGCAAGGCGCTAGGCGCATCGTAGCCGTGGGCATCCCAACCGAAGTTCCTAAGGGCCACATGGCGACCATGGCAACCATGGCGACTGGCCCAAAAGAAACATGGGAAAAAAAAAGAATGTGTTCACTATATCCGGAAAGGAAAAATGAAGATACTAAAAATGCTGAATATGAAATAATGTTTTTTCAAAATACAAGCAGAAAATGAAAATAAACATAAAACACAACGCTGCCAAGGCTCTTTTTGTGTAGGGAGTTGTGCTCTTGGTCAACTTCCTTCGGCAACACTGGTCTAACAAGACACAGAAAGCAGGCATCCCTGCCTATGCCACTGAAGCATGTGGTAAATCGACATTGTCAGAATCAATCTTTTCACTTTGAAATATCTCTTTCTGTGACCTCGCTTTCAGTAAGTGCGTCTGATCTGTTCTCGCGCCAGAGTCCTCTTCTTCTTCGTCCTCCTCCTCCTCTTCTTCCTCTGACTCCTGCAACTGCTCCACTTGGCCCACAACGCGAGATTGCTGCGATTCCAAACGAGGATGCTATTGTCTGCGTGAACCTGAACATCTTGCGATGCGTATCTATATACGTGTCGAGAAACATATACTATAGACACACCTCCAGATACATTGATGATACATGCCCAGCTATGTTCATTTTATAATTTTATATTCATCATCTCTACACAACTCTAGATATTTTCTACAAATGGAATCAGATGCGTGGATACATCTAGTTGCCTCCTCAGCCATCGCGGCTTTTGCGCGACGTTCTTCTAAGACATCTTCGGCAAATGCCTTCAAAGATTTCAGCTTTGAGTTTTCAAGATGTTCAAAAGATTTCAAACATATCCAAATGGTAAAACATGGTAAAACAAATACTGCTATGATCAAATTGCGACCTCCAAATGCTCGCAGGCCAATTGCAGCTCTTCAGTGCTGGAGCTGGCATCTCCTTTCAAAAACCGCAGATGTAACGGAAATTCACATGGGATCTTCATGATTCAATCATCGATTGATTTTTCGGTTTCAGCCAGCTCTGCCAAGCGTCGCAACACAAGGTCTGCAAGTGCAGCCATGGCATGCCTACGCGGGAATCTATCAACTCAGGAAGAATCTCATGAACTCATTGGACAAAAACAGCTCAGCTATAGCTTTGCCTCGCTCCAAGAGTAGCTGCACGCGCCAAAAGGGCACGCATAGTGTTGGGTTGTGAGCCCTTCACCTTCAAAATGCTGCAGGATGCTGCAGACTGCTACAGATTTGCATGGGAGTTGCATCTGATTTGCATCTCATCTGCTCTTTTCGCCGTGGATGTCCCATGTCTGCCCCGCCTGTGGCAGAAAATCAGCGTGTTCTTCGTCAGAACAAAGCCGCGCCAAAGCCAACAGCGCCTCGCACGAGTCGCACAAGGTCGCACAAGGCCGGGGAATTCCGGGAAGTCCGGGAAGTTTCCTGCCGTTTCGAGACGTTTCGATACGGTTCCATACGTTTCGTGTGTTTGTTCATGTGTTTGTGGCTGTGGCTAGGCCTCATGATCGATGGTGAAGGAAAAGGGTTTCTGGGATAGAACATGATAGAACTGCAGTTCTGAAAGAACGTGGCTGGTGAAAGAAAACCAACTGGAATGCAATAGTTGCCTTCCTCTTAAGGGCAGGATGGTTTTTGTATGTTTTTGTCCATGCAAACACAGGTCCGCAATGTCCATGTCATGTTTATTTTCATGTTCTTCAATCCTACCAAATACCTGACCACACAATGTGATTGTTGCCAAGCGTCCTTGGACTATGACTAAACATGATCTAAACAGGCGTTCGTGATGCGTGCATAGTTACGTCGATCAACATGAATGTCATAGTCATGGTCATATCATTCATATGCAGGTTCCCCAGCATGGTTGGTTTATAATGGAAAATCATATTGAATGGATGATTTAGGAATACCCCCATTTCTGGAAACCTCATGAAACCTCATGAAACCTCATGAAACCTCCATATGGAATCAATCCTCAGACCGTTTTTGTAGCAGTGCTACCTCCGGCAGATCTTGTCGTGCCGCTTCCACCAGGTGAAAGACCGCCGACTCCACCTGCGAAGTTGGATCTTCGGTTCGCAGGTTTTCCATGGTTTTCCGCAGTTTTCCATTACTGTACATTTGCTATCCTATACTTCATCTCGAGATTTGGGCGGATTTTAAGGATTCTTATAGCATTCTTATGGTATAAGTATGTATAAGTTATAAGATGTTATAAGTATCAAGTGAAGGTTCTATGATCTACGCATGGCTCATGGCTCTCGATTCTTCTCGCCTCTTTTTGCTCCGGAGGAGCTCTTGGTTCATCGCCTCAGCGCAGAAGTGACCCTTCCCTGTGACCCTTCCCTGTGGTCATCCTGAGATCTCCACGCAGTGTGATGCGTCCTTGATGATACATCGCGGCGATTTCCATGTGGCATTCTGCCTGGGAATCTTCCCACAGGGAAAAAACAAAGCACTGCATCCATGCATATCATTGCATATCCATGCCACATTTAAAACAAATATGATGAACATTGAATAAATTTGAAGCGAAACAACAGGAGTCTTAGGATGCCTTAGGCAGATCCTAGCATTCTCATGCATTCTCCTCAAGTTGGACCAACAAAATCAACAAAAGTATCAAGTTGTGCAACGAGGGCCTCGGGCCTCGATCAAGTCCTCAGGTGGCACGACATCACCCGAGCGGTGCCGCAGTGCACCACGCCAGTTGCACCAGTCCGAGAGGTCCACACCTGGAGTCCTGCAGTCAACTCGCTTCAGGAGTATCGCGACGAAATGATTTTTTGGAAATTGAACGAAAATGATAGCTGAAGGCTACGTATGCTACGTTACAATTACGTTACTATAGCTGATTGATTGATTGATAGCTGATTGATTGTGATGACATTTAAGATTGACAAATTGCGTCAAGGAGCTCCGCCAGCAACACCACAAAGTCCCCAGGTTCTTGTGCCTGGCCACGGCACGTGCGCTGACGCTGACAGTGTCACCCGTGCCACCGGTGCCGCCGTGTCCCACCTGGGGAGACGGGTCCTTCTTGGACGTGGCGATGAGTTGCGACACGGTCCTAGAAAGGGGCGAATGTCGGAGTCGCAGGATTTTTGACCCCCACATCGACAATTGTAGACATGAAATTCTATTAAATCAATAACATCAATGTCTACAATATTCGTTTGAGGCAGCTGCAGATTATCAGCGGAATGTCGTCAGTGCTGTCCTGGAACTGTTTGGAGCCAAGTGTTTCTCCTCGTGACAGGAGAGGGCGAACACGGGCAAGTTCAGGAGCTGATCCTGGGCGACAGATTTTACTAACAATGTTTCGAGATGTGTTGAGACAACTGGGCGTTAAGCAAAATACTTCTTTGATTCTTTGAAATTCTTTGAATATATTTGAAATGGGAAACCCCTGTATAAAATGAACCTGATTCTGGAGCTCAACCCCCTTGATTTTTTACAGCTATATCCCAGGGGGATTATTTGAATATATTTCAATATAATACATGTTCCACATTGTTCCACTGTGTCACTATGTCAAAAGTTCTTCTACATCTTCGAAATATGTTCTCCCACTGCAACGGCGCTTGCCCCTGCCGGCACCACAAGATTTCAACTGTTTCAACTGAGGAGGTCTCGATGTCGTTCCGCCGATGGCTCCACAAGAAGAGCGCGAAGCCTTTGATGCCGAAGTTCAGTTCCATGTCGGCGCCTCGCCATCCAAACACCGCCGTCCAAACAACCGAGGACACAGCCGTCCAAACAGATTTTTCACATCGAGCCTGCTAGCTTTCCAGAAACGCGGCTGGGAAGAAAATGGATCACAGGATCTGTGTACAAATCCAGAACGCCCTGGATGTCCACAATCATCCTCATGGTTCTGGATGTTCTGGAAATTGATGAAACTGGCAATTGATTGAAACATGACCATAGTATAGTCAAGCCTTGCCATGCACATGCTGGGAACAGCACAGTCGACGTCCCGACTTGATGAAGGTGAAGTAGCCTCGCTCAAACGATGGACTGAAACAGCAAGAAGCATCGCAGCAAAGAAAAAATCAATCAACAAGCATGGCATAGCATGATGATCATGATGTGGGAAGGCATTCTTGGACATCAAATCTGAATCCGAAGATATCCGAAGTGGCACAATTTGAATAGTTTTGATCCAATTTTGGTATAATCCAAGCGTCTAAAAGCTTGTGGAGTGGTACGAGGACCCATGGTCGATCCACCGTTGGTGTTGTGCTTTCTGTAGTCCCCCAGCACGAAGGCTTCGGCGCTCACAGTGACTCTCTCTGGTAGCTCCACCACCTCAAAGTGATTACGACCAAATAACGACCAAATATGATTTGCAAATGAAAATGACATGAAAATGACATGCAAAAACAAAATAAACCAAGAGAAATTGCAAAACACTTGGTCTTTTCATGTCTCTTCTGAATCTGTTGAGCTTGGCTCGTCAAAACCGGTCGTCTCATTTTGAATTCAAAGCACATGAGTCAGCAGGAAATCGATGTCATGTGCTCCGCAGCGGCCCAAACCGGTTTCCACAGCATGACGATGGATTTCCTTCAAGGGTTGCCACATGTTGCCATGCTTAACTGCAACCGTTCGGGCTTGGCTAAGGCCGGTAAGGCGTCAATGGAGGCTGATTTGCTTGGTTCTGGCATGTTCTGGCCAATGCGTCCTGGTTGAACAGCTCTGCGTAGTGCTTCGCAAACGTCTGGTGGATGACATCTGTCTCACACTCTCGCCTGAGCTCATTTGAAGCTCTGATCACACGATCTCTTTCACTGTCGAAGCATTGATTTATTGATTTCAGCTGTCAAAGTTTCAAAGACATCTGGAATCTCCCGAGCTAAGCATAGCTAAGCATAGCTAAGCATAGCTAAGCATAGCTAAGCATAGCTAAGCATAGCTAAGCGAGCTGCTTGTGCATGATTTTGCGATGGTGATCCGCGATGGAACGCTTGGCGACCCAAAGCGTCCGCCGGCGATTGCCTCAGAAAAATCTGTCGAGAAACATCGAGAAACGATGAACGGAGCTGCTACAAATGGTCTGCCAGACGGTCTGCCTTTCAGCCACATTAATCCACATCAATCCACATTATACATCAATGAAGCTTCTGAAGGTCCGAGAAGTGCTTCATACTGCTTCTAAGCCACGCGGTAGCTCCATCAAGCCGCATGCAATGGCTTCGAAACAAAGGTGATGATCTGTGGTCTCAGCAACGGCGCTCAGGTTCTGGAAATGTTTAAACATGTTAAACCATGTTAAACCATGTTAAACCTCGAGTGAAACACTTTGACTGTGTTAGGTTCTTTTCATTTGAACTTTGGAACATTCTCCAAAACAAAAGATGTGCAGGGCCCAACATGGCCCAACACATGTCATCTCCTGCATCTGGCCTGGTTGACCTTCAGCTTTCCTGCCAATTGGCGATCCGGATCTTGGTCCGTAGTCGTCCGTCGTCGTCCGTACTTTTGTGGAATGTGTCGGATTACAGTGTGGTTCTGCAAAACCTCGAAACATCTCGAAACTGTTCTGCAGAGCCTTCTGCATGTCCAACAAATTCACGGCTTTCCAGGCGCACTTCCTTCATGCGAAAGCACTCTCGCAGAGCGCCTGTGCGAGTTGGCTTGCCTAGCTAAAACATGCTCGAACTGTGATCTTGACTTGAACATCTTGAACACGAAAGAAACCATAAGAAACTTCAATTTGATGTTAGTAGATGTATGTAGATGTTAGTAGATGTTAGTAGCCATTAAAACCGCTGATGTGGGCTGGCCTTTCCCAAAGGCTTTCGAGTCGAGCTGCACCATCACCTTGCAGAGTGCACTGGACAAATCAATAGCACTTTTTGGGGGCACTATACATTGGGGGAACTATTTAATTTACCAAGTTTGAGTAATTTTGAGATACAGCATGATACAGCTTAAAGGGCTTATCTGTTTAGAAGCCTGTTCCAATCCTCAAAGCTGGCATTCTGAGGAAGTCGTGCCACTGTCCCCATGGTGTCCCATGGTGTCCCAAAGGCCCCGTGTTGCACCTGCTCCTCTGCCCAGCCATCCGTCTTCACATCAAAGTATCGTTTCTTTGCCAAGACTGGAGGTCCTCACAGTGCAGCAAATTTTGCACAACTGGAGGTCCTCTCAATCATCTAACAATCATCTAACAATCATCTCATAGATCTAACAATGATCTTCCAGATCCAATGGAACAAATCGGAACAAATCTGCCAGATGGCACTGCCATAAATCCAAATGTCCTGGTGAAAAGTCGAGCCATTGGCTGGAAATCTGCTCTCGGGCCTTCCTGCCCACAAGCCGACAAGCCCTGCCATCCCCAGTGGATCAACCCGATTCTGTGGTCACCATGCACCATCTTTTTGGTGAATCCATAGTGAATTCACAGTAAATCAGGATGGAATCTATAGTAAATCTAGGAAATCAATAGTAAATCTATAGTAAATCATAGTAAATCTAGGTCTGCATTGCTCAAATTTCAGGAATTTGATGCCTAGCGAAGGCATCTCTTCATGGTACTAGCGAAGGGTTTAAGTCACATCAGTTGGGCAGAAGTCACATCAACCCCATGTAACAGCGAGTTGGAAGAAAGTCACATCAACTGGGCAAAAGTCACATCAAAATATCAAAATTCCAATGGCGCACGCAGGTGTGATACGACTTCAGGTCGATTGATATGACTTAAGCCTAGTGGTAGTAAAGGGCGAGTGCCTGGCTGCACGCAGCAGCGACGCCCGCAACTCCGAGCTGGGTCGGAGTTCATCACGAAGCACGGCCACATCCTCGGGCTGTTAACATGTCACAATGCTGATGCAAAATGATGCAAAGATAAATACTAAATAATACTAATATATGCAATAATGTGTGCATTCATATTAACACATATATCCTTCATCAAATAACCATGTGCAAGTCGTTTGATTGTCCCTTTCTGCAAGGTCACAAAATGGTGTATGGATCCCAATGTAAAAATCATCCCATGCCCCAAATCCACAGCATCAATGTGATCCCATCAAGCCTTGATACTGGCCTTGGTTTCCTCTGACAAACGAAATTGCCGCGGAGCGGGTAAAAACATGCTGCACCGCGCGGTAAAAAGAACGCCCAGTTTGGTTTCAGCTGCGATGCCCATCTGGAACCATTGCATTTTCCGAATGTATTCAACATTACTCAAACATATTTAAACTTACCATTTCAAACATATTCAACTACACATTTTACTATTCAGATGGGTCACTCAATTTACTCCTTGGACTCTCCATTGACTCATCGATTTCAGCCTTGTACCCTATTGCATTCGTCATGTCCCCCGTCACTCCGTCGAGCAAAAGGACGGAGCTGCCCAAGGAAAAATGGAGACAAAATGGTAGTTTGATGCTTTGTTGTAGGGTTTCATACTTGGTTTCTCCTGGTTTTGTGGAAAAATCCTGCTGTTTGTTTGAAGATTTATGATGAAATGGTGGTTGTGAAATGGTGGTTATGACATGTTATGACATGTTAAAACATGTTATGACATTGAAAATCCGAAGACAAAAGTGCCAGTTTCTGAGCCTTCAGATCTCTGGGCATCACAGGGCTCCAGCTTTTCAGCAAGGCCTGGCACAGGCTGCATAAGCGTTCAGGAAAATCCTCAACGGAATAGGGGATAATATATCTACATGAGATATATGAGATATATAAGAGATAAGAGATATATAAGAGATATATAAGAGATATATAAGAGATATATGAGATATATGAGATATGACTTGTAAGATTACAATTAAATTACAATGATTGACATTAATATATGTATATATTATACTGATAGTACCATATAATTTGCTGAATACTAACTGCAGTCTGAATCAACATGAACCAACATTATAGATGAGTTTAGAAAAAAATATGAGATGTAATACATGAGTGTATCATCTAGCAGCGTCCAAGTTGGAATATCAATGAATTGGTAGAGATTTCTTGAGGCAAAGGCAGCAGTTTTTACACTTTCAGCAACTCTCAGCTTCGGCTCTGCTGGCTCTGAAAGCACCGGAAAGTGAGGCTGATCCGCCCTTGGGTGCAGCTAACTGTGCAGCTAACACATGTCTCCCAAAAAAAAAGAAAACAGGTACAGCGCGTTGAAAAAAAAACTAACTGTGCTAAAAAAAAAAACATGTTTGAGCTGTCCACTTTCCAACGGTAAAATTGGGTGTATTCTGCCAAGTAGCTGCCATTCCGCTTGGCGCTCGGTGGAACAGCATGTTTATGTGTGCGCTGACATGTTCCTCCCATGACGACCAAGTCGCCGTCCTCCAACTCCACCTCCACCTGAGTCGGGAGACCAACTGAGCCATGGTCAATACTCACTTAATAATGGTGATTATAAATCCCTATGAACCATTGGATGACTAGCCCCTACTAATGGTTATTAACCATGAGTATTGACCGTAGCTCAACTGGGTTTGATCTGAAAGAGTTTGAAATCACCGATCTCACCGATCTCACCGATCTCACGCCTTCTTGCCAGAGTCTGCTTTTCTCGGGGTGACTCGAAACAGCCTCGCCATTGGAAACATGGAAAAGGGTGCCGACAAACCACTGCATGCCTGTGGAACCGTTCTAAGCTGTGAGCCTTTGGTTTCCCCAGGAGACCGCGAAGATTGGCGATCCAGGCACCAATCCTTTTTCATCATCCGAGTGAGCTCCGATGGAGTGCTTGCCTCCATCATACCAATTCACAAGGCCTCACATGCCGAAGTGCTTAGTACAGTCGGTGGCACAGCAATAGAAATAACACAGAATAACACAGAACCCTAGACCCTGGTTGGTTTTCGTGATGAAATCTTGGTAGGCCAAGCAAATGGCTTTTCGGGATCATGGTGAAACTGAGTGCTCCAAATGTCAAAAGAGGCCCAAGCTGTTGCCCTGAGTCTGCTTCCCAATTTACCACACGCTGAATTTTACTTAAAGTCGTGAAATTACTAGTAAAATTTAGATGCCTAGCAAAGTAATTGATTGGCCGCCTGGTAAATAGCAAATTTACTATTTACTAGCCAAGTAAAATAAATTCGTCACTAATCAAATACATTGATTTACTCGTCCAAGTAAATCTGCACATTGCACTTTTAAGTGGATCTTTTGTTGAGCAAACATTTTTAAAAAATGGCGTTACGCTTGCTTTGCCTGTAGATGATTTCATTTGTGAAAGCGGTCTGCTCGACATGGCCATGTTAGTTTTCACCTTTTGCATCCGTGTGATTAGATTTGGATGATTTGGTTGTATTTATTTGCGCGAAGAAATGCATACACAAGAAATGCAAAAAAAACATGCTAAGAAATGCAATCATTTTAAAAGAAAAAGCAACATCACAGGTAGCTGGCTGAAGCCTTAAGTAACAGGTAGTGCTCCAGCATCGCTACCATCCTTATGACATTGTTCTTGTCCAGAGAAGTTTGATTTCCTTCTCGCGTTCAACATGCTCGCAAGACATCAGAGTCTTTTGTCAAGCAACACATGCATGAAAATCATGAAAATATACTTAAATAATCTTAAATACTTACCGCACGTAAGTTTGCACCATTCCTCAAGAAACTACATGAAATATTTTCCACAATTGGGTCTAAATCCCTGCTCAACTAAGGCAGGTATGAAATCACTTTCTCGAGTGAAACAGGAAAGTCACAGAAGTATAAATCACAAGTACCTTTTTATGACCCCGGCGATCAATCTGCTGTCTCCCTACTGTTACAGTGCATACTTAGATTCCAAACCACACGCCAAAACCAAGGTCCTCAAGAACAATGAAGTCATCCAAATATAGGATCAACCATGCTGATCATGCTGTAACACAAAAAACAATGAAAACACGCAATTGAAAAACGAAACACGTTGTGTGCAATTGCTATCCATTTGTCCGCTTCCGCGACTTGTGCTTCACGGTTCCTTTTCGCGAGCGTTTCCGCGGTCTTTCGCGCGCATAGGTTTCGCTTCTGCGATAGCAAATCAGTTTAATCCCAATGCAAACTCCTAGGGTTTTTTGCTGCTCAGATCGCATTGCGAAACGTTTCGCCAGACATAACTTGAGTGTCGGTGTCCAATGTGAAACGTTTCTTGCCAAGCGACACGCCCCAAAATTACAGTTCTTGAGAGGTGCCGATGACATGGACAGAGCATGCCGAAGAGTTGCCAAGACATGCCACACCTGCGCAGCTGTTCCGCCCAAAGCGTTGAAAGCATGGTTTCAGAACGCTGTCAAAACATCTCAAGACCAACTTATGTCAAGAAAATTAAAAGTTGCAATTTTTCACTGTGGAGAATCGGCGCCCTGACCTTGAACCTGGCTCACAAAATCTTTGAGAATTCTAAGTGGTTCATACCCTGCGCTACTTTCTTCAAAGATCTTGCAACTTTCCACTTTTCAAGATTTGTATGACCATGTATGACCTCACCCTTCGACCTGCACTGAAACCTGAAAGGTGACCCGCAAGCATCTGACACATCGCTCTGCACGCCTCAGGCGAAGCCTCCTCACTCAGGGGATGCGCTTCCGCCACCTGCCCCGAAAAGGCATAGTCCACACCTTGGTCATGTGATGTCATGTGCCTCCCAGTCTTGGTCGGGATTGTGGTGCATTGTGGTGCCAACAAGGAGATCAGCGCTGTGATCCAAAGATAACCAAGGCATTCCAAGGCATTCCAAGGCATTCCAAGGCATTCCAAGGCATTCCAAGGCATTCCAAGGCATTCCAAGGCATTCCAAGGCATTCCAAGGCATTCCAAGGCACCAAAAGCCTGCTGGTAGCGATGGAAAGTCACTTCCTTGCCAAAGAGCTTTGCCTTCCACTGGTCGCACTTAACGAAACTGAATTTGCCTGATACATCCTGAATCATCCTGATATACTTTGAAAGTGGAAATCTTTGAAGCTGAAGTCCATTTTCAGTCTATTCAATGAGCCTATTCAGTCTATTGAGTCTATTCCAATGTCTATTCAGTATCCAGGTTTGCCTGGCATCACAGGTTGTCACATTGGCATCACATTGGCACAGCGCCTTGCCAAGTGTCGGGGGATGCTTCGCCCAGAGCTTCTCAAAGTTCTCCCTGCTGGGCAGCCAGCGTCTCAACAGCAGCAGCCAACCTAAAATGTGTCGCCAGGTGTTACGACTGTTCGGCCATCAACGGCCTCACAGGGCTCCACTAAAATGGCATGAGTGGCATAAATTCCATAGGCCTAAGGCATCCTAAGGCCATCTAAAGCCCATCTTTGCTCAGGCACTGCTCCCAGAGTCATTCAAAGCTGCGAAGTGGGCCTGAGTTCTTCCATCATCCCACAGATTGGGAGGTTTTTATTGCCGAACTGATTGGATTTCTGTTGCGATTACCTTCATTTCCATGGTTCGAACATTTCGAAGCATTGTGAAACACACGAAACACGAGACAAACGCATCCAGAGAGCCCTTGCAAAGCCAGGCCCCAGCAGCGCTTGAAGCTGTGGAACTGTCTCTATGGAAGCAAAACCATGTCCTGTGACACTTAAGTGACACTTAAGTGACACTTAAGTGACACTTGTGATGAGATGTTGTGAGATGTTATGAGATATTGTGAGGGTGTCTGTGTGCGCATCAAATCAGGCATCATTTCAAATTAAATTGGGAAAATTGAAGAAAACTTTACGACATTTCTGGTCCAACCTGGAGAAGCTCCCAAGACCAAGCGCCTCTTGCAAGGCCTCAGAATAAAATGGGGAACAAATGATCTTGATGAAAGATCATGAAAAATCATGAAAGATTTCAACCATACCGTTGATACCTTCATTGATCTTCATTGTGCATCCCACAGCAGGGCATGTGATCTGTCCATCTTCAAACATATCCAGTTACGAGGCAGGGCCATCCTCAATTCGGCGCTTCCGTGACGTGGACCTGACGAGAAACATGAAGAAACCAGGACTCCGCTGACATGACAGTCTGACACGAGTTCAAAAAGATGGTGCGCAAAAAGGCATCCACAATTCCACAATAACTTATGCAACTTATATCAACTGTAAGGCATCCACAATAACTTGTATCAACTTATCAACCTATAATTTCTGCTTCACGTATATCGAATTATATCGATTCTCATGAAGGCGGACGTTCTGGGAGTTCCTGATGTTCCTTCGCTTGAAACATCTGGAAACCTGGCCATGCAATCTCTCCAAATCCAGGAATATCCAGGAATTGAGTAGAGATCAAGAGCTCTGAGTGGAGGGAAAGAACATCAGTAGCATCAAACCAACCCAATGGGTCCAATATGGTCCAATCAACCCTCAAATTCTCAGTATCTTTAGGGCCGGGATCTTCGAGACATATCGAGACTGATCTCGATACTGTCCGGGACAGGCCTGGACGACTCGCTGTCGCTGATGTCCAGATCCTCCACGGTGCACGGGATGTCAAAGTGGGCCATGGCAGCCATGGCTCCGGATGTGATGCGAGACGTGATGCGAGACGTGATGCGAAGGACGACAGATCCATGGCGACCATGCCATCTGCTGTAGACCCGCTGTAGATGTCATTCGAAGTGAAACACACGTGATGTCAAATCAGCGAACAGCCATGATGTCATGGAAACGGAAGAAACATCAAAATGCCATTGCTATATTGCCTACATTTGCCTACCAAGCAAGTTTCGAAAAGGAAGAAGTTGAGGAGCTATACATAAGTCATGGGATGTCATGGGATGTCGGTACTTCAAAGAGCTCTCAATCACCACGCTATGCCACCCGGTGGCTACTAAAAAAGAACTATAAAGGCATCCCATGGCATCCCAATCGCTGCAAGATGCTGCAAGATGCTGCAAAAACTCAAGTCTCTGAATGGCCTTCACGGAATTCACAGCAAAAGGTTAAAAAATTATGTTTAATTTAATAATTTATGTTAATTTCCTATCCATGTGGAAAATCAGTCAGAATTTTCTGTTCAGAAAGGTCCTGGTTTCGAAAGTTTCGATGTGTCCAACTTCCTTCGATGTGTACAGCGCGCCTCCATGACTGCTGGTTTGCAGCCATTGCGGAAGGCTTTAACCACCAAGCCTTCTGCTTTGTCACCAGCCTCCAGCGGTAATTCAAGCCATTGAAACTGCAAGTGCAGGGACACCAATCGCAAGAACCCTTGCGAAACCACCCAGATTGCAACTTGGACTTCCAAGTATTACATGTATATATGTATATATCATATATTAATATATATATATATATATTATATTATCATCTCATATTCAATACATATTCATTCATATCATAGTTTGGTGCCAGTTGAGTGATGTTTGTCATCGATGCTCAATGGGATCCGAAAAACCTTTGAGGATTCCATGATTTCCAGGATCCCATCAAGGCCTCGGAGTCCAACACATCCCCTTGCATCCCTTGCTCCAGCAACCTGGGCCAAGTGATGATAGTGATGTGTCCAAAAGTGTCCAAAAGTGTCCAAAAGTGTCCAAAAGTGTCCAAAAGTGTCCAAAAGCGGCCAAAAGTGTCCAAAAGCGGCCAAAAGCGGCCAAAAGTGTCCAAAAGTGGCCAAATATCAGGGGGATCAACAGGGGATCAACAGGGCACAGGGCACCTTTGCACCGTGCATTCGGAGGCGTCACGGCCCTTTTTCAGCTCCTCCATGCTGACAGCGACAGACGCGACAGATGCAACAGATGCCATCGCACTTCATGGCAGCACGGGCAAAAACTCCTCCTCCAATTCAGCTCGAAGCTTCGGATCTCTTTGGGTCCTCGCAGTCTTTTTTCTGTTGAAAATTGTTAGGTTTCAAACAGCAGAACAACATAGAACATCATAGAACATTATAGAACAACATATCAACAAAAATATCGACCAACACAGACACGACTTGTGCGAAGTGGTCAGCTTGTTGCTGAGGCCGTAGCTTCTTGCCACGTTCCTTCGACACCTCTCCCAGCGCAGCAGGCGCAGCAGGATGCGCAGCTGATTTGTGCAGTTTGATGAGGCCCCGGCGAAAGCCGCACGTAGACGAGCCAATGGCACTTTGATCCTTGGCAGAGACATCGCTACTAATTACCACTACTACCACTACCAGCAAAAGTGCTGATCAGCCTACATTCAAGACTTTCCTAGCGGTCAGCCAAGAGACATCTGAGACCCATCCTTGCTCCAGTCCTGCAAACATAGATCAGGGATGATCATGGCCGAAGTCATGACTTCGTGATCAGAGGTCCCTTTGGCCAATGCGTCCCAGACGGAACCTCATGGGCTGCCACCCAGCATTCTGTCGCTTTCGGAGCCTTCACTTGGCGAAAACTTTCAGGACCCGCTCGTTGGGACTCCAACGTTTTGCAAACAATCATACTGTAACAAGTCAGGTTTCACGCGACTTCCGCAATCCGAAAAAGGCATTGGTTTCCAGGAAAATCTTGGGAAAAGACGCAATCAATCCATGCCTCTTTTTGTTACTCGATGCAGGCTCAGTTCGTGTCGTTTAAGCCCACGACAGCCGCTACTGTATGTGCCCTTTCGCCATACTCCAATTCCAGAAATATACCTTGAAGGTTTACACATCCGTAGCTCTTATTTTCCTGCGAACTCCTCAGGGCCAGTGAACGTCTCTTTGGCTCTGGCCACCTTTGGAGTTGGGCCCTGTGCGGCTCCTAAGATCTCCTAAGCAAGTGGCAAGCTAGTTACAAGACTTGCCTCAACCCGCTTCCGCAAATGGGAAACCATGGAGTCTGCGACTGATGGTTTCTTCTCAGCACTCTTTTGCCTTCCTGAATTGCTAGATATGATATGATTTGATATTAGTCTGTGGAATAATCTGAGGGATCTCAAGCAGAGTTGGGGCTGTATGGACTCCAGTACTCAAATAGTCGAGTAGTTGAGTAATTATACGAAATCATGCAATATTCATCACATTTCATCACCATCAGTACGGCATAAGTTTCTAGGAATTCTCAGATTTGTAAAGTTTGAGGTCTTGAAATGTCTTGGAGTGACACAAGGAGTACACCTTCTGCGCTTCGTCTGCGCTTCATCTGCGCTTCGTAGCACGCTTCACGCTGCGCGCGCTTTGCTACAGCGTGGTTTTGCTCGTTGCCTGTGGCGCCTGTGGCGCCTGTGGCGCCTGTGGCACTGCCTCCGGCGCGGTTTCCACCGGGGCAGGCGCTGGAGGCGCGGTTTCCACCGTGGAAACCTCGTGTGTCGCTTTTGTCGCTTTGGGTGTGTCGCTCATCCCTGTCATCGGTTTGTAGATCTCCTCCTGGTTTTTGTAGATGAGCTCCAAACGATGCGAGTGGATGGGGAAAATGTAGGTCAGAACAACTGCAATGAGCTGGCAGCTGGGAATCACTGCGAAATAGAAGAACTGAATACAGGTTGCAACGGCTGGATCTTGCGACTGAAAGTTCTGAATCTCACATTCTTCCCGACACTTGGACATGGCATCGCGATCCACGTTGGTGCACTCGGCTGCGCAGTTGCTGACCTCCAAGCCAGCTGCAGAGAGTGCCGTGAGGAGAATGCCTGAGGCAGCTGCCTTAGCCGAAGCTGCGACATGGTGCGACATGTCATGGCTAGGGGGAGCAATTGATGCAACGCAAGATGTTACTATGAGTATGTATTGCTGTATTACTGGATATCCCGCCAATCGAAATCCATTCCCCAGACTATTAAGATATTTCATGACATTTACATGATTTTGCGTCAATACCCCAAGCATTTGAGGCATTTGAGGCTCCGCTACTCTCCCGGTGCTGGAGATCAAGGAGATACATCCAACAAAAATCGCTTCCCTTCTGCGGCCCGCTTTGGCTTGGCAGTCCTCATCCACAACCCTTAGCCGCTGGAACGTTGGGGCATGGTGGGGCCGTCAGTTGGATGTTTTATGATGTGTCCAACCCGAAGGGACTAGGAGATCCAACAAATCTTGCAAGTCTTGCAGAGTCCCACATGTCAATGCCGAAGAATGCCGAAGCCTGCCGACGATGTCAACGCACCCTTCAAATTTATTAAACATCTTCAAATCACCAGAGTATCGATCTGATCTTTGCATATCTTTGCTATTTGAATCTTGGTGCATCCCATGATTCCAAGATATTCCAAGTGTCCAACAAAGCACAATGGCCCTCCAATAGGTTTGACCAGTGAAGCTGGCACCGATGAGTACGAAGTACACCAAGAAATCGAAAGGATCTGCCAGCACACCATGGAAGAAATAGAGTGCGATTGGTGCGACCAGGCCCATGCTGCAAGCTCCAGCACAGACCTGAACCATCCATGGACATCCAGCTGATCCATGGACATCCATGGAATCAAGAACGTGTCAAGCTACAAAAATACGACGAAATGAAAAACTCACAAAATCTCTCTACTCATGTGACTCATGTGCCATGTTTCTTGATTTCTTATCATCGGATGACGTAACTTCCACCACACTTCCGACGATTGATTCCTCACCTCAAACAATGTTACGGCATGTTGCAGCTATTTCTTGGCATTGACGCCGTTTCTCAGGGCCTTGTTGTTGTTCGTTGGTCTCTTCTTCCGAAAGAAGATGGTCCACACCGGCAGGAGCGACATCGTCACAAAGCCTTGAGCTATACCTGCCGTTGGCGAATGGCAAAGCAACATGGTAAAATTACATAAAAACAACACTGAAAGGAAAAGAAGATTTCATGGCATTGATGGTTTGAGATGGTTTGAGAATGTCTAAGGTTTTATAAGCTTTTATAAGGTTTTTGGAAAATTCAAGATGATTCAAGTCTCAAGAGACATCAACAGGTGGAAGGCGCCTGTCACTGTGATGTACAGCGATCGATCTGAACCACTGAGGCCACTCACGAAGGTGTAATAGTACAACGCGCCATTTACCAACCTCAGTTGCAGCATGTCAACCGTGTTGCGCTGTAATTCACCATGGGTTCGCTTAGACACATGCCTCAGATTTTGACATCCTTTCGAACAGCTTCTCAGTAACCTCCCAAGAGATGCAAAATCTGCATCAATTTGCGATTATTGGATATTATTGGTAGGATTTGATTCTATCATCTTAGATGGTCGCTATAGTATTAATATGTATTAATTATATACATACTATATCATTAATAATATTAATATCTTCTCTGGAGAAATCTAATGCAAGCAGCACCATGCCAAAAAAAACAAAAGATGCCAGACGGTCGATGCATTGCCAGGCGACAATGTGTTGACGGCGCCATCGAAAAAACGATACATGCAAAGCAGTGCAAATGCGGGTTGTCTGATGACCTGCTGGGATGAACACGATGAAAAGGGTCACATATGTCCAACTTGGAGGAATTTGGTCAGCTAAAAAGGGCCAAAAATGGCAAAAAACAGATGCAAAAGGCCTCCAAGTACTCCCAAAAAAAGCAAGTAGGCATTGCATCTTGATTGAAGGCTTGTCTAGCTTGCCTGGCAGAAGGAGCAAGTTCAGATCATGGAAATGTGACGTAAAGAGAGGACGGTCCACAAGGTGATTCTGCAAGGAGATTAGAAAATTGCATTAAAATAGACCCATTGTCCCCACTCGTCAAGAGAGGCACTTCAGCTTGTCAATGACTCTTTCAGACTCATTTAATAAAGCGTTGACTTCGTGGGTCACAGAACTACAAAATGTTGTGCAACACGGCATGACCATGGCATGACCAGTGAACTCAGTGGACCTGTGGTATGGCCAGGCTTGCCACGCCTCAAAACTGGAACAGACGCCAATGAGATCAGACCAACCAACAAGAAGCTGGCACCGGCCAAGCTCAAGGATAGGCGAGTCATGTTGGCTGCCACCACCAGCTGTGGTAACAAGCCCAGTGCATTGCCTGGCCAATGTCCAGTATGCCACAGGATGACAGGATGCAGTGAGTTACTTTGGGCAAAGGAAAGAACTTGAAAAAACAAAAAACTGCCAGAATGTCCAAAAATGTCCAAAAACTGCCAGAATGTCCAAAAATGTCCAAAATCATGGGATTTTCAGTGGCCTATTCCGGAGGTGACTTTGCACAAGCTCTCAGTCTCGCTTCTTTCTTCCTGGCGCTGGCAGAGTTGTGGGGGTTCCCCAGCCTGTGTCCCTCGGTGTCGGGTCCTTGGTGGGGTAGATCTCGGCTCTGGCAGACTCGAAGCATGTGAACTGAACGGCCAAAAGCCAGGCGCAACAGCAGCCCCAGATCAGATACCAAATGCAAAGCACCACAGGATCCCAACTGGGAGGAAAGTACCTCGCCAAGTGAGCCAAATAAAGGTGGCATAAAAGGATTTTAAAAAAAAAGGCAGTCCTGGATAGTCCTGGCATTTCTTTAAATTTCAGGTTGGGAATTCCGCTAAACGCAGAACCGGAACCGGCTGAACTAATAGCCAGGGTGCAGTAGCGAGGTGCAAATTGCACACCCGATGCAGTGGGTGAGATACCAGGGAGCTCGACGACCCCAGGTTTCCCAAGGAAACCAGCGAGAGAGAAATCCCTCCTCTAAACAGTAGCCTGTTGCTGAAGAAAATTTGGTGAAACGTTTTTGTTTGTTTTCGGCGGCGTCAAAAAGTCCTGGTAATCTTGTATAGCCACAAGATGGTGCCCCCCAGTTATAAGTTGGTTTATAAACCCCATTAACTATAGTTATATCTACCATAAACCATTGTTATGGGAGTTATAAACCAACTTAGCTGGATTTTTGGGCTTTGAGGAAACTACGGCCAAAAAATCGACAGCACGTCGCTGAATCGCGCCTGCCAAGACATAGCTGGTGGGTCCCCAGATTGCCACAACAACACCCGCGGCTGCCATGACTTGAATGTCTGCTGCCAGTTCCAAGACATAGATATCCTTGGCGGATTCCATCCAGCGTGCAATTTCATGATTCATACTTCAGTTTGATCCTTTATAATTTATGATTTATAATTATTATCTAATATTATTTATAAATATATTCAAATATCTTATATAAATGATTCCTAAATTTATAATGAATGAAATGGATTTTGAATGATTTGACAAGTCTCCTTGACCAGCACGAAGACACTGGCACACGCAAGGGGCGAGATGAGGGACATCGCAAAGCATGACTTCTGATACCAGCTATGTCCAGACGTCAGGGAGGAAGGCGATATGGGCGACGGCCCTGACGCTTCCGGCGAGGCTTCCGGCGCCCTGGGCGAGGTGTCCGTCATTGAGGGCGCTGACTCTGGCGGCTCACGTCACCATGGCGCGACATCCTGTGACATCCTGTGAAGCTGAACCAATGTAAACCAATGTGAACCAATTTAAACCAATTTCAAAGAAAAACCATGGAAAATTGGTTCAATCATGTTAAATCCTGATCAGGATCTGCCGGACTCAGTGGTTCTGAGCCGAGGCCAAGGTATCCAAGGTCGGTCCATGCGCTGCGTTCGATTTCTGACCGCATCTTCTGACACTTGAGGTGTCTTCAAGTAAACCATTGTAGGTAAACCATGGTAAACCATTGTAAACCAATGAAATTAAAACAAGGATTATCCTTGAAGTGATCAAAACAGTCAAAAACAACCGAAGACCCCGCATACTCTACTGACAGCATCAAATTCGGTTTCTGCCTCAGTCTGCGACTTTGTCTGGGCCTGCGCTCTAATTGAAGCATGACAAAAAGGGGGTTGCAACAAGCGATTCCAAGGACACAAGTCCGAGGGATATCTAAGAAACCATAGATTTTCATAATTTTTCATACTACACTGTGAATGGTGATGTGAAGTGCGTTCTGCAAGCTTGCATTCTGTAGGTTCTGGTCGTTTTGGTCTAGAATTTCTGGGTTTTTCCGGGGCAGTCACTCTCCAGCAAGTGCAGCCGCGGATTCTTTTTCAGCGTTCTGCTCATCAGTTTCTATGTGGGTTCCCCCCATCTCCCAAGACAGTGTGCGGTCCAAGTCAGCTTTCTGCAACAGCTGTGGTTGCCGCCGACATGCCTGCGATCTGCCTAGTCTCAATTTCCGGCTTCCTGGTCGGAAGTCCAGAGGGTCAAGTTGTCTCGCAGCAGCTGCATAATCAGCGTCGAGTCCTTGTACGAATCCTCAGCCACATTGTCAAGCTCTGCAATGGCATCCTCGAGGGGCAAGTGTGAGAAATCTTAATTCATCTTAATTCATCTTAACTCCATCAAACCGCAAAACTTGGATCTCTTGCACTAACGAATTGGGATTGACGATGATAGACTGTTTGTTGTGGGTTGGACATGGGGAAGCTCTTGAACGTAAGTCAAAACGGTTCTAACTTTGGCAAAGAAACAGAAATAACAAAAAACACGTGTATAATCGTATAAAACACCGCCACACGACGGTCTTATTGTCAAATTTTGGATCGATTTTGGTATTAAGCACGCTTCAGCATGGTTTAGCAGTTTGGCATGCTTGAACCACTTGTCCTCAAAGGCGGTGCGCGCCATCTTGCATGCTTCATCTGGGTCATTGAGCACTTCGTACATGAAGACGGAGTAGTTCAAAGCCAGGCCAAGGCGAATTGGATGTGTGACCGCAAGGTCATCTTTGGCCACCTTGGCTGCATCAGCATAGGCCTTGCGTGCCTCCTCAGCAGCTTTGCTCTTCTCATCACCACTGCGGAACTCCGCAATGTAGCGGTAGTAGTCTGCCTGACGGTCTGACGCACCAAAAAAAGAGGCAACAACACTACGACTATGACACTGCGGACGATACATCTCAAGAATGCCTCCTAGTTGATACAGGTTCAAAACATGTCCCAAGCATCTCCAAAACATGTCCAACACACATGTCAAAAACACTCTGTGCAACCTGTGCAAAGTTCAGTCAACGCAGTCAACGCTCATTCGTGCCTTCATTTTTTGGTAAAAGACTTTCGACTCTGCCTGCGTGGCCTCACAGTGAGAAACAGAAACAGAAACAGAGCACTCAGAAGTAGCATGCAGTAGCATGCAGTAGCATGCTGTAGCAGCGTTCTCCTGTGTAAGTGTGCAAGTCTGAACAAGTGCACCGAAAACACTGGCAAAAGAGTTACAGCCAAATGGACTCCAAATATCTACGACTGACTCTGGGCAGCATCTTGCTCGTGGCAGGGATCTATGCATTTTTCTCTTGACTGTTTTTTGCAGAATGAAGGACAAGAGGATGAGCATACCACATCAAAGACAAAATCCAAATCCTGATCGATCTGATTAGTCTGATTGATCTGATTGATCTGATATTTGCTCATACATGACAGCATATTCAAATCATATTCAAATCAAATCGAACGTGGCCTTGGGAATGAGACCCTTGTCCAAGAGCTGCAAGATAGTGTCGCAGATCTTCTGGAGTTCATTCTCCACCTTGATGCGGTAGTCCTTTGCATAGCCCGCCTGCGTCTCATTGCCCTTGGATTTCTCCTTCTGCTCCACACTTGAAATGATGCGCCAAGCAGCACGACGAGATCCCACTGTGTTCTTGTAGGCCACAGACAACAAGTTGCGCTCCTCAACAGAGAGTTCGTTGCCGTCGTCGCCCACGGCCTTCATGTAGTCGGCCATTTCATCATACCTCACATGATCTCACATGATCTCACATGATCTCACATGTGTTTTCGACAAAAAACGTTTGCCTTAAGAACCAGTATTGATCATTTTGCCTAACAGCCCTTTTTCCTACGAGCCGTTTGCCCAATAATTTTGATGCAATTTGATGCATATGTTTTAGTTAGGCCTTTCATAACACGGGCATTCCCCAGAGGAGCCCAATCGAAACTGTATACATTCCAGTTTCAACCTTGAGATCCACGGCCAAACCACTAGGAAACGAGCAAAAACCACAGCTGTTTCTATGCCTTGCTGGGTCATTTCCATCTGGCTCTCTGACAGTGAATGTGAGCTTAGTGTCATGCTGACTTTTCTTAGCTTCAACTGGGTTTTGTTTTTTTTGGGCAGCTTTTTATTGCCATTTGAAAGTATCCTGCCAGCCTAACTTCTTCCCAACCAACGTGCTGATTCTGCGCAATACCCGGATTTGTTCCCAGCCCGAGCTTCACTTCGGTGAAATGTTGCCCAAAAGAAACAAAGGAAAACCGCATCTGAAGCTACTCTAAGGATACCTTTCAGCCTGCTCGGCCAACTTGGCAAAGTACACGTCCTTGTCGCGCGGCATGGCGAAAGCAAAGCAGCTTTGAGGCTCCCGCGAGCAACTGGTTTGAAAAAGGTTTCAATGCAAAAGCTTGAGCCCTCTGCAGAAAGCAAAAAAGATGCAAAACGTGCTCGAGCATTCTCAAACCAAGAGGAACAACGAGGGTCAAAACGAAAACTGGCCGGGCTCCGCAAAACAGAGCAATGAATCATAAGCCGGACAGAGGCATCAAAATCATCAAATGTGAAAAGCTCCAATCAAGCTCCACTGATTCAAACTTGGCAAACCCCAAATTCCTGCCTCCGGCACTCCACCTCAAAACCACACGGCCATCTCAGAGATTCACACGCAAGACATGCATTTCATGGGCATCGCACAGCGGATATGATCAACGTCATGAACATCATGAACATCATGAACATCTGAACAGTTCTGAACTAAGGAGGTTACCATCTTTGGAAGTCTGCACGACATGACTCTCGCTCCAGGCCTGAACATCTGCAGTCAATTCAAAGCGAACTGAAGAGGTGAAGTGTTGCAGTCTCCACACCGTGAACTGTGATGTGAAGTGCGTTCTGCAAGCTTGCGTTCTGTAGGTTCTGGTCGTTTTGGTCTAGAATTTCTGGGTTTTTCCGGGGCAGTCACTCTCCAGCAAGTGCAGCCGTGGATTCTTTTTCAGCGTTCTGCTCATCAGTTTCTATGTGGGTTCCCCCCATCTCCCAAGACAGTGTGCGGTCCAAGTCAGCTTTCTGCAACAGCTGTGGTTGCCGCCGACATGCCTGCGATCTGCCTAGTCTCAATTTCCGGCTTCCTGGTCGGAAGTCCAGAGGGTCAAGTTGTCTCGCAGCAGCTGCATAATCAGCGTCGAGTCCTTGTACGAATCCTCAGCCACATTGTCAAGCTCTGCAATGGCATCCTCGAGGGGCAAGTGTGAGAAATCTTAATTCATCTTAATTCATCTTCATTCCATCAAACCGCAAAACTTGGATCTCTTGCACTAACGAATTGGGATTGACGATGATAGACTGTTTGTTGTTGGTTGGACATGGGGAAGCTCTTGAACGCAAGTCAAAACGGTTCTAACTTTGGCAAAGAAACAGAAATAACAAAAAACACGTGTATAATCGTATAAAACACCGCCACACGACGGTCTTATTGTCACCTTTACCATTTTGGATCGATTTTGGTATTAGGCACGTTTCAGCATGGTTTAGCAGTTTAGCATGCTTGAACCACTTGTCCTCAAAGGCGGTGCGCGCCATCTTGCATGCTTCATCTGGGTCATTGAGCACTTCGTACATGAAGACGGAGTAGTTCAAAGCCAGGCCAAGGCGAATTGGATGTGTGACCGCAAGGTCATCTTTGGCCACCTTGGCTGCATCAGCATAGGCCTTGCGTGCCTCCTCAGCAGCTTTGCTCTTCTCATCACCACTGCGGAACTCCGCAATGTAGCGGTAGTAGTCTGCCTGACGGTCTGACGCACCAAAAAAAGAGGCAACAACACTACGACTATGACACTGCGGACGATACATCTCAAGAATGCCTCCTAGTTGATACAGGTTCAAAACATGTCCCAAGCATCTCCAAAACATGTCCAACACACATGTCAAAAACACTCTGTACAACCTCTGCAAAGTTCAGTCAATGCAGTCAACGCTCATTCGTGCCTTCATTTTTTGGTAAAAGACTTTCGACTCTGCCTGCGTGGCCTCACAGTGAGAAACAGAAACAGAACAGAGCACTCAGCAGTAGCATGCAGTAGCATGCTGTAGCAGCGTTCTCCTGTGTAAGTGTGCAAGTCTGAACAAGTGCGCCGAAAACACAAGCAAATGATTTACAAGAGGATGAGCATACCACATCAAAGACAAAATCCAAATCCTGATCGATCTGATTAATCTGATTGATCTGATATTTGCTCATACATGACATCATATTCAAATCATATTCAAATCAAATCGAACGTGGCCTTGGGAATGAGACCCTTGTCCAAGAGCTGCAAGATAGTGTCGCAGATCTTCTGGAGTTCATTCTCCACCTTGATGCGGTAGTCCTTTGCATAGCCCGCCTGCGTCTCATTGCCCTTGGATTTCTCCTTCTGCTCCACACTTGAAATGATGCGCCAAGCAGCACGACGAGATCCCACTGTGTTCTTGTAGGCCACAGACAACAAGTTGCGCTCCTCAACAGAGAGTTCGTTGCCGTCGTCGCCCACGGCCTTCATGTAGTCGGCCATTTCATCATACCTCACATGATCTCACATGATCTCACATGATCTCACATGTGTTTTCGACAAAAAACGTTTGCCTTAAGAACCAGTATTGATCATTTTGCCTAACAGCCCTTTTTCCTACGAGCCGTTTGCCCAATAATTTTGATGCAATTTGATGCATATGTTTTAGTTAGGCCTTTCATAACACCGGGCATTCCCCAGAGGAGCCCAATCGAAACTGTATACATTCCAGTTTCAACCTTGAGATCCACGGCCAAACCACTAGGAAACGAGCAAAAACCACAGCTGTTTCTATGCCTTGCTGGGTCATTTCCATCTGGCTCTCTGACAGTGAATGTGAGCTTAGTGTCATGCTGACTTTTCTTAGCTTCAACTGGGTTTTGTTTTTTTTGGGCAGCTTTTTATTGCCATTTGAAAGTATCCTGCCAGCCTAACTTCTTCCCAACCAACGTGCTGATTCTGCGCAATACCCGGATTTGTTCCCAGCCCGAGCTTCACTTCGGTGAAATGTTGCCCAAAAGAAACAAAGGAAAACCGCATCTGAAGCTACTCTAAGGATACCTTTCAGCCTGCTCGGCCAACTTGGCAAAGTACACGTCCTTGTCGCGCGGCATGGCGAAAGCAAAGCAGCTTTGAGGCTCCCGCGAGCAACTGGTTTGAAAAAGGTTTCAATGCAAAAGCTTGAGCCCTCTGCAGAAAGCAAAAAAGATGCAAAACGTGCTCGAGCATTCTCAAACCAAGAGGAACAACGAGGGTCAAAACGAAAACTGGCCGGGCTCCGCAAAACAGAGCAATGAATCATAAGCCGGACAGAGGCATCAAAATCATCAAATGTGAAAAGCTCCAATCAAGCTCCACTGATTCAAACTTGGCAAACCCCAAATTCCTGCCTCCGGCACTCCACCTCAAAACCACACGGCCATCTCAGAGATTCACACGCAAGACATGCATTTCATGGGCATCGCACAGCGGATATGATCAACGTCATGAACATCATGAACATCATGAACATCTGAACAGTTCTGAACTAAGGAGGTTACCATCTTTGGAAGTCTGCACGACATGACTCTCGCTCCAGGCCTGAACATCTGCAGTCAATTCAAAGCGAACTGAAGAGGTGAAGTGTTGCAGTCTCCACACCGTGAACTGTGATGTGAAGTGCGTTCTGCAAGCTTGCGTTCTGTAGGTTCTGGTCGTTTTGGTCTAGAATTTCTGGGTTTTTCCGGGGCAGTCACTCTCCAGCAAGTGCAGCCGCGGATTCTTTTTCAGCGTTCTGCTCATCAGTTTCTATGTGGGTTCCCCCCATCTCCCAAGACAGTGTGCGGTCCAAGTCAGCTTTCTGCAACAGCTGTGGTTGCCGCCGACATGCCTGCGATCTGCCTAGTCTCAATTTCCGGCTTCCTGGTCGGAAGTCCAGAGGGTCAAGTTGTCTCGCAGCAGCTGCATAATCAGCGTCGAGTCCTTGTACGAATCCTCAGCCACATTGTCAAGCTCTGCAATGGCATCCTCGAGGGGCAAGTGTGAGAAATCTTAATTCATCTTAATTCATCTTCATTCCATCAAACCGCAAAACTTGGATCTCTTGCACTAACGAATTGGGATTGACGATGATAGACTGTTTGTTGTTGGTTGGACATGGGGAAGCTCTTGGACGCAAGTCAAAACGGTTCTAACTTTGGCAAAGAAACAGAAAACAAAAAACACGTGTATAATCGTATAAAACACCGCCACACGACGGTCTTATTGTCACCTTTACCATTTTGGATCGATTTTGGTATTAGGCACGTTTCAGCATGGTTTAGCAGTTTAGTATGCTTGAACCACTTGTCCTCAAAGGCGGTGCGCGCCATCTTGCATGCTTCATCTGGGTCATTGAGCACTTCGTACATGAAGACGGAGTAGTTCAAAGCCAGGCCAAGGCGAATTGGATGTGTGACCGCAAGGTCATCTTTGGCCACCTTGGCTGCATCAGCATAGGCCTTGCGTGCCTCCTCAGCAGCTTTGCTCTTCTCATCACCACTGCGGAACTCCGCAATGTAGCGGTAGTAGTCTGCCTGACGGTCTGACGCACCAAAAAAAGAGGCAACAACACTACGACTATGACACTGCGGACGATACATCTCAAGAATGCCTCCTAGTTGATACAGGTTCAAAACATGTCCCACACAAGCATCTCCAAAACATGTCCAACACACATGTCAAAAACACTCTGTACAACCTCTGCAAAGTTCAGTCAACGCAGTCAACGCTCATTCGTGCCTTCATTTTTTGGTAAAAGACTTTCGACTCTGCCTGCGTGGCCTCACAGTGAGAAACAGAAACAGAAACAGAGCACTCAGCAGTAGCATGCAGTAGCAGCTGTAGCAACGTTCTCCTGTGTAAGTGTGCAAGTCTGAACAAGTGCGCCGAAAACACAAGCAAATGATTTACAAGAGGATGAGCATACCACATCAAAGACAAAATCCAAATCCTGATTGATCATATTGATCTGATTCATCTGATTGATCTGAGTAATCTGATTGATCTGATATTTGCTCATACATGACAGCATATTCAAATCATATTCAAATCAAATCGAACGTGGCCTTGGGAATGAGACCCTTGTCCAAGAGCTGCAAGATAGTGTCGCAGATCTTCTGGAGTTCATTCTCCACCTTGATGCGGTAGTCCTTTGCATAGCCCGCCTGCGTCTCATTGCCCTTGGATTTCTCCTTCTGCTCCACACTTGAAATGATGCGCCAAGCAGCACGACGAGATCCCACTGTGTTCTTGTAGGCCACAGACAACAAGTTGCGCTCCTCAACAGAGAGTTCGTTGCCGTCGTCGCCCACGGCCTTCATGTAGTCGGCCATTTCATCATACCTCACATGATCTCACATGATCTCACATGATCTCACATGTGTTTTCGACAAAAAACGTTTGCCTTAAGAACCAGTATTGATCATTTTGCCTAACAGCCCTTTTTCCTACGAGCCGTTTGCCCAATAATTTTGATGCAATTTGATGCATATGTTTTAGTTAGGCCTTTCATAACACCGGGCATTCCCCAGAGGAGCCCAATCGAAACTGTATACATTCCAGTTTCAACCTTGAGATCCACGGCCAAACCACTAGGAAACGAGCAAAAACCACAGCTGTTTCTATGCCTTGCTGGGTCATTTCCATCTGGCTCTCTGACAGTGAATGTGAGCTTAGTGTCATGCTGACTTTTCTTAGCTTCAACTGGGTTTTGTTTTTTTTGGGCAGCTTTTTATTGCCATTTGAAAGTATCCTGCCAGCCTAACTTCTTCCCAACCAACGTGCTGATTCTGCGCAATACCCGGATTTGTTCCCAGCCCGAGCTTCACTTCGGTGAAATGTTGCCCAAAAGAAACAAAGGAAAACCGCATCTGAAGCTACTCTAAGGATACCTTTCAGCCTGCTCGGCCAACTTGGCAAAGTACACGTCCTTGTCGCGCGGCATGGCGAAAGCAAAGCAGCTTTGAGGCTCCCGCGAGCAACTGGTTTGAAAAAGGTTTCAATGCAAAAGCTTGAGCCCTCTGCAGAAAGCAAAAAAGATGCAAAACGTGCTCGAGCATTCTCAAACCAAGAGGAACAACGAGGGTCAAAACGAAAACTGGCCGGGCTCCGCAAAACAGAGCAATGAATCATAAGCCGGACAGAGGCATCAAAATCATCAAATGTGAAAAGCTCCAATCAAGCTCCACTGATTCAAACTTGGCAAACCCCAAATTCCTGCCTCCGGCACTCCACCTCAAAACCACACGGCCATCTCAGAGATTCACACGCAAGACATGCATTTCATGGGCATCGCACAGCGGATATGATCAACGTCATGAACATCATGAACATCTGAACAGTTCTGAACTAAGGAGGTTACCATCTTTGGAAGTCTGCACGACATGACTCTCGCTCCAGGCCTGAACATCTGCAGTCAATTCAAAGTGAACTGAAGAGGTGAAGTGTTGCAGTCTCCACACCGTGAAAACTGTGATGTGAAGTGCGTTCTGCAAGCTTGCGTTCTGTAGGTTCTGGTCGTTTTGGTCTAGAATTTCTGGGTTTTTCCGGGGCAGTCACTCTCCAGCAAGTGCAGCCGCGGATTCTTTTTCAGCGTTCTGCTCATCAGTTTCTATGTGGGTTCCCCCCATCTCCCAAGACAGTGTGCGGTCCAAGTCAGCTTTCTGCAACAGCTGTGGTTGCCGCCGACATGCCTGCGATCTGCCTAGTCTCAATTTCCGGCTTCCTGGTCGGAAGTCCAGAGGGTCAAGTTGTCTCGCAGCAGCTGCATAATCAGCGTCGAGTCCTTGTACGAATCCTCGGCCACATTGTCAAGCTCTGCAATGGCATCCTCGAGGGGCAAGTGTGAGAAATCTTAGTTCATCTTAATTCATCTTCACTCCATCAAAGCGCAAAACTTGGATCTCTTGCACTAACGAATTGGGATTGACGATGATAGACTGTTTGTTGTTGGTTGGATATGGGGAAGCTCTTGAACGCAAGTCAAAAGGGTTCTAACTTTGGCAAAGAAACAGAAAACAAAAAACACGTGTATAATCGTATAAAACACCGCCACACGACGGTCTTATTGTCACCTTTACCATTTTGGATCGATTTTGGTATTAGGCACGTTTCAGCATGGTTTAGCAGTTTAGCATGCTTGAACCACTTGTCCTCAAAGGCGGTGCGCGCCATCTTGCATGCTTCATCTGGGTCTTGAGCACTTCGTACATGAAGACGGAGTAGTTCAAAGCCAGGCCAAGGCGAATTGGATGTGTGACCGCAAGGTCATCTTTGGCCACCTTGGCTGCATCAGCATAGGCCTTGCGTGCCTCCTCAGCAGCTTTGCTCTTCTCATCACCACTGCGGAACTCCGCAATGTAGCGGTAGTAGTCTGCCTGACGGTCTGACGCACCGAAAAAAGAGGCAACAACACTACGACTATGACACTGCGGACGATACATCTCAAGAATGCCTCCTAGTTGATACAGGTTCAAAACATGTCCCAAGCATCTCCAAAACATGTCCAACACACATGTCGAAGACACTCTGTACAACCTGTGCAAAGTTCAGTCAACGCAGTCAACGCTCATTCGTGCCTTCATTTTTTGGTAAAAGACTTTCGACTCTGCCTGCGTGGCCTCACAGTGAGAAACAGAAACAGAAACAGAGCACTCAGCAGTAGCATGCAGTAGCATGCAGTAGCATGCAGTAGCATGCAGTAGTATGCAGTAGCAGCTGTAACAACGTTCTCCTGTGTAATTGTGCAAGTCTGAACAAGTGCGCCGAAAACACAAGCAAATGATTTACAAGAGGATGAGCATACCACATCAAAGACAAAATCCAAATCCTGATCGATCTGATTAATCTGATTGATCTGATATTTGCTCATACATGACATCATATTCAAATCATATTCAAATCAAATCGAACGTGGCCTTGGGAATGAGACCCTTGTCCAAGAGCTGCAAGATAGTGTCGCAGATCTTCTGGAGTTCATTCTCCACCTTGATGCGGTAGTCCTTTGCATAGCCCGCCTGCGTCTCATTGCCCTTGGATTTCTCCTTCTGCTCCACACTTGAAATGATGCGCCAAGCAGCACGACGAGATCCCACTGTGTTCTTGTAGGCCACAGACAACAAGTTGCGCTCCTCAACAGAGAGTTCGTTGCCGTCGTCGCCCACGGCCTTCATGTAGTCGGCCATTTCATCATACCTCACATGATCTCACATGATCTCACATGATCTCACATGTGTTTTCGACAAAAAACGTTTGCCTTAAGAACCAGTATTGATCATTTTGCCTAACAGCCCTTTTTCCTACGAGCCGTTTGCCCAATAATTTTGATGCAATTTGATGCATATGTTTTAGTTAGGCCTTTCATAACACCGGGCATTCCCCAGAGGAGCCCAATCGAAACTGTATACATTCCAGTTTCAACCTTGAGATCCACGGCCAAACCACTAGGAAACGAGCAAAAACCACAGCTGTTTCTATGCCTTGCTGGGTCATTTCCATCTGGCTCTCTGACAGTGAATGTGAGCTTAGTGTCATGCTGACTTTTCTTAGCTTCAACTGGGTTTTGTTTTTTTGTGGCAGCTTTTTATTGCCATTTGAAAGTATCCTGCCAGCCTAACTTCTTCCCAACCAACGTGCTGATTCTGCGCAATACCCGGATTTGTTCCCAGCCCGAGCTTCACTTCCGTGAAATGTTGCCCAAAAGAAATAAAGGAAAACCGCATCTGAAGCTACTCTAAGGATACCTTTCAGCCTGCTCGGCCAACTTGGCAAAGTACACGTCCTTGTCGCGCGGCATGGCGAAAGCAAAGCAGCTTTGAGGCTCCCGCGAGCAACTGGTTTGAAAAAGGTTTCAATGCAAAAGCTTGAGCCCTCTGCAGAAAGCAAAACAGATGCAAAACGTGCTCGAGCATTCTCAAACCAAGAGGAACAACGAGGGTCAAAACGAAAACTGGCCGGGCTCCGCAAAACAGAGCAATGAATCATAAGCCGGACAGAGGCATCAAAATCATCAAATGTGAAAAGCTCCAATTAAGCTCCACTGATTCAAACTTGGCAAACCCCAAATTCCTGCCTCCGGCACTCCACCTCAAAACCACACGGCCATCTCAGAGATTCACAGGCAAGACATGCATTTCATGGGCATCGCACAGCGGATATGATCAACATCATGAACATCATGAACATCTGAACAGTTCTGAACTAAGGAGGTTACCATCTTTGGAAGTCTGCACGACATGACTCTCGCTCCAGGCCTGAAACATTTGGATTCCGCTGATCTTCACGCAGGGCACCTTGACATAATCATGAAATGAGGACGGTACCCCATCAATCTCCACCAGGACGGGCCCAGATGGCACCTGCCATCAAGGCGTGATGATTCAAAAGGAGTTTTTTGGGTCTTCAAAAGGTGCAGGTCAAGGTTGAACAGGTTGAACAGGTTGAACAGGTTGAACACCCTGCAAGACCTGTAGGATAGGTATGAAGATGTATGAAGCCAACCGGAAAACCTTGGATATCAAACACTCCCTTGCTTCCTAGAAGCTCCTGGTACCAAGCGGTACCAATCTGAGGTGGAAGATTCCCTGGCCTCCTCTGGAGCCGCTGTAGCCAGCCACTCACCCAAATCCAGAACCTGGGAAATCATGAATCTGGTATATGATATACAAATAAATATCATGGAATGGTGGTTATATATGATATATAGAATATGATTATGATATAGTATATGATATGGTGGTTATGATATGGTATAATGTTGCAGATTCCCAATCCAATGGAGACTTGCAAAACGTGCGAATCCTCCCGCGAAACCGGCGAAACCGGCGCCCAACCGTTTGGAGGTGCCCCAGGTGCCCGGACCAAAGTGCGAGCAGCGGGTGACTGACTCATGTGGCTTGCCAGCTTGGCAAAAAGTCCGTTTTCGGCCAATTCAAAGATCTGGCACGGGATCATCAAGGACAAAGGGGCCCAAATGGGCCCACCTTCAAAGGTGGCTGGTGGAAAAAGACTAAGGTCCAAAATCGCCAGAAGTCAGTTTCAGGTATGATCAATTCCCTTTCTATCTACATACTATGTGAATATTACAGATATATATATATATAATCATATATGTTTTATGTTTTATCATGTCTTCAAAAGATGTTTCCTGCTGTTTCCTGGTGGCCTCTTTGGGTGGTCCATGGTCCATATTTTTTTGTGTCACGGCCTCGCTGGGATGGAGCCGGAGACCTCGTTGGAAAACACGGTAGTGACGGTGGATGGGCTGATGATGATGATGATGATGGTTATCAATGGTTATTATATAATGGTTATATAATGGTTATATAATGGTTATATAATGGTTACATAACGGTTATATAATGGTTATATAATGGTTATATAATGGTTATATAATGGTTATATAATGGCTATTAATGATTATTAATGATTATTAATGATTATTAATGATTATTAATGATTATTAATGATTATTGATGATGATGATGATGATGATTATTATTATTATTATGATTATGATTATGATTATTACGATGCTTATGATGATTATGATGATTATGATGATGATGATGAATTGATGAATTGATGGTTCTTGTATGTTGTTGCTATGCTGAACTATGATGATGGAAGAGCATGAAATGGTTTCTTTAGCATTGTGCTACTATTAGTATACTATGGCCTGATACCTTGAGACGTTGATTCCAAGCATGATCAATTTAAGTTGGGAAAGGAATCCGCTATCAAAAGCTCAAAGCTAAAGAAACAGACCTACTGCACAACCAGATTTCTTACGTTTCGTTGCACTGTTGTTTGAGCAGCTTCGTTAATCATGCAGTATATTCAATATCTTCAATAATAAACCTGTTCATACCTCGAAATGGCATCCAAATATATCCACGGACAAGCTGGACAACCGTTCGGACAACCCATCTCCTGAGATTCCGCGGCTGGCAGAAATGCGCTGTGTGGAGTTCTGCAAATCTTCTAGATCTCGACGCCTGGTACCGTCAGACCACCCATGGCGATTTCTTTGCCGCTTTTTTGCAAAAATATCTAAAAAGTTGAGTTGCAGAAAAAAAAAATAGATCTTGCAAGAACATGACATGAGAAACACGCCAGAGCCATTTGACAATCGGGGAACTCCCACGGATCGGAAGATTGGGAGCCTTGTCTCTGCAGTGATCTCTCCCAGCTGATCAAAGTTGCGACAAGCGTCGCAAATAAAGAACCTCAGCGGCGATGTGCGGCCCCACGGATGATGGCAGAAATTGATATAAATTGATACAAAAATAATGTCGATTCATGATTCATAATGGTTAACACATGTTAACACAAATTCAGGTAAAAAAAATGTCTGGGTTAAAATTATAGTGTCGATTTCTATGCTGAAGCATGTATGGGCAGCTTGATTTGCCTGGAGAGTGGGTGTTGCTTTTGCAACTGTTTGCTGCTTTAAATACAGGGAGGTTTGGACCTCTTGCACTTCACCACGCACTTATTTCTGAAGTCATCCGCTGTGGTCAGTTTCTAAGTAAACATATCGAAACCCTTGCAGTTGCTGATGAGAAACCGAATCAACAGAATGTCACAAAGGTGCAGGTAACGCTAAAGATTATACCTGTGAGATGTTTTATCGAAGCAAATCAGCAACTTCTGCAGGGTAGCACACGGGAACAGTTTCTTCCCGTTCAGATTCTTCCGATGTGTGTTGGACAAAGGTCGGAATTTTGGACATAGAGTTTTTAATCGCCCTGCAGTTCTCTACGAGAAGCTGCCGACGCAAGGGTGACCAGCGGCACCAGGTATGCTGCACCCGCAAAACCAGGAACGTCCCAGCGGCACCAGCTTTCCTTTTAAAGAACAAATCCAAACCGCTTTTCGGCAGGGCAGTGGCGGCAGTGGCACTCAGATTTTGTCTGGGTAACCACGCTACTCACTTGACATGGCAATTGCATGCACAAAATCGATTCCATCCGATTCTTGTGTGACATGAGGTCACATGAGGTGTTTCTCCAAGAATCCGCAAAACCCAAACACTGAAGACCCTGAAATGATGAAAACACAGCATACTTCCTTCGTATGGGACGTTTCGTGTCATTCAATGTCGTTTGCGTCGAGAGCTATCAGAGTCGTCAGAGTTTGACCTGTTCACATTTTGCTTTGCGAACAGGACATTCTCCGGCTGGGAAACCTTTTCGTTTCTGCTTCTCCACAAATGGGCAATGGCTTGTGGCACCTGAGAGACACGGCAGGCACCCGTTGCACGAAGTACACACACAACCTGCATCACATCATCAATCTAGATCATATGCATTGAATATTACCTTCATATTACCTACACCATATATATATATAATCCCCCTGTGGATTCCATGGGGAACTCATGGGCCTTCATTTTATAGTGGGTACCTAGGTGGCTTCTATAGAATCGACTTCCTATATGAAAAGTGGAAGGTTTATGCTCTATAAAATCAAACACTATGTGGTCTAGAGCCCCAAAACAAGAAGATTTATTATAAAATGGAGTACCTGGGTTACCAACTTCCATAGTATGAATCTCAGTTAAGTTGCCAATGTTTGGCTTTATAAATCATGGACCAGATTTGGGGCTTGCAAAAGTGTGTTTTTTGGGTGTGTTTTTGAGGATCCCAAATTTGACCTGGTTTTGGAATTGAATGATTTTATAGTGGAATAATAGGGACCTACTAATCTCAAGAAAAACTACCAGGACCCCTTTTTCCCCACCTGCCAGGTGAGGGTTGTTAGATTTTATCACAGTTGTTCTTCTCCTCCTCCTCCTCGGCTAGCTATCCTCCTCCTCCTCTTCCTCCTCCTCGTCCTCCTCCTCCTCCGCCTCCTCCTCCAGTTTCTCCTCGACCATGTCTGCATCAACTTCCACCTCCACTTCCGCCTTGCCAACTCTTCGCCAAGCTCTTCGCCAACTTCCGAGCTCAGTGTGCACCGCTGGACCTCAACCTGGGACATGCCAGCTCAGTGTGCACCGCTGGACCTCAACCTGGGACCTGCCCAGCTCAGTGTGCACCGCTGGACCTCAACCTGGGACCTTCCCAGCTCAGTGTGCACCGCTGGACCTCAACCTAGAACCTTCCCAGCTCAGTGTGCACCGCTGGACCTCAACCTGGGACCTGCCCAGCTCAGCGTGCACCGCTGGACCTCAACGGCCAGATAGAATGCCAGAAGATATGCCAGATAGAAAGCTATAAGATATGCCAGATAGAATGCCAGACGATATGCCAGATAGAATGCCAGAAGATATGCCAGATAGAATGCCAGAAGGTATGCCAGATAGAATGCCAGATAAAATGTCAGATAGAATGCCAGAAGATATGCCAGATAAAGTGCCAGAATGTTTGCCAGATAAAGTGCCAGAAGATATGCCAGATAGAATGCCAGAAGATATGCCAGATAGAATGCCAGAAGATATGCCAGAACATATGCCAGAAGATATGCCAGGTAGAATGCCAGAAGATATGCCAGATAGAATGCCAGAAGGTATGCCAGATAAAGTGCCAGAATGTTTGCCAGATAGAATGCCAGAAGATTTGCCAGATGATATGCCAGAAGATATGCCAGGTAGAATGCCAGAAGGTATGCCAGATAAAGTGCCAGAATGTTTGCCAGATAGAATGCCAGAAGATTTGCCAGATAATATGCCAGAAGATGTGCCAGATAGAATGCCAGAAGATATGCCAGGTAGAATGCCAGAAGATATGCCTGATAGAATGCCAGAAGATATGCCAGATAGAATGCCAGAAGGTATGCCAGATAGAATGCCAGATAAAATGTCAGATAGAATGCCAGAAGATTTGCCAGTAACAAAATGTATAAATGTCATGGTGGGGATCACACGAAGTAAAGTAATTCATTGATTTTATAGACAGCCATTCCGCCCCCCTAGGCTCCCCCTCCTTCTTTCCAGACCAGAACATTTAAGTTGGCAGAAACAAGTCAATGTCGCCTCTGCCATTCTTTGTGGCAACTCCATTTTTTCACATTTCTGTTGAATTGAACGATTTTTAAACAGAAAACAACCTTCCTGTCTTTTGACGCTTCAAACATCTACATCAAAATGACCTTGAAACATCTGAGATAATTTTAGACTGAAATTGATCCCCTTGTGAATTTCAAGGGTCTCCCAGAGACCGCCATTCTATCGAGGCACCTGGGTCCAACTATAACAATGGTACATTCTGAGAATCTCTCTAAAATCAAGACACAATCAGATTGCAAGAAATACGACTCTATAAAATCAAGAAACAAAAGGCACCACATGGCTACAAATGCCTGTTTTGTAACCAGGGTCACATTTGGAGACGTCTTTTTCGTTTAAAATCAGGATCTCCAAAATGATGGTTTCACAAATTCTTTTGAAACATGTGGACCCTTAATATTGGGGTACCTGGTCTCTGATTTTATAGTGGGGCTGTTCGAAAGGCATGTCGATACAAGCTGGACCTGGGTCCTTGGTTTTATAGAGAGAAACTTCTTTTGGACGGTTGGGGCTTGGGATGCCATCAATTTCCATAGTTTGCTGACTCAGGTTCAGTCCAAAAAGAAATAAGAAAAACAAAATACACATCACATACCCGAAAAAATGGAAAACAATCGCCCTTTCGGGACACTTTTTGGCACCCGGATTGTTGAAGCAAAACCTCTCGATACAATCGAAAAAAATCTTTATTCGGGGGCCCTTCAAACCTGAATTTTCCATTTTGGAGTACTGCTGCGCCTCACAATATATGGAAAGGCCTCAAAATGTTTGAGGGATATAAGGAACAAATTTTGAAGTCTAGAGGGCATGGAGGGGGGAAACATATGGGCAGAACCCAATTTTTGAAACTTGTTGATGTTCTAAAGACAACGGTCCATATTGAAGCCGGGTACATCCACTAAGTACCCCCACTTCCCAATTTCAAGCAGTGGAAAGGCAACGTCACCACGCGCAATGTTGAAGCAAAACCTCTATAAAATCGACAAATTAGTCTCTACTTGGGGGTCCTTCAAACCTGAATTGGCCAGTTGGAATCCTGCTGTGCCTCACAATATGGAAAGGGGTCAAGGATGTTCGAGGCAGGCACTTACCAAATTTTGGAGTTTAGCTGCAACTTTTTGAGGGGGTCCATACTGAGGCCTTTCCTTATATTGTGAGGCGCAGCAGTACTCCAAAATGGAAAACTCAGGTTTGAAGGGCCCCCAAATAAAGAACAATTTTTGGACTCTATCGAAAGGTTTTGCTTCAACACTGCGCGTGTTGACATTGCCTTTTCACAGCTTTGAAATTGGAACGTGGGGGTACTTAGTGGATGTACTCGGCCTCAGTATGGACCCATTCTCTCTATAAAATCAAAAAGTTGCAGCTAAACTCCAAATTTTGGTCTGCGCCTGCCTGAAACATCCTTTGCCCCTTTCCATATTGTGAGGTGCAGCAGGACTCCAACTTGGACAATTCAGGTTTGAAGGACCCCCAAATAGAGACTAATTTGTCGATTTTATAGAGAGGTTTTGCTTCAACATTGCGAGTGGTGACGTTGCCTTTCCACGGGTGATTCGGAAATTCGGAAATCAGTGGGGATACCTGTATATAGTGCACGTATTCGGCGTTAATATGCTATAGAATCAAAAAGTTGCAGAAACTGGATTCTGCCCATATGTTACCCGCCTTCCTGCCCACGAAATTCCCATTTTGGAATACTTCTGCACCTCAATATATGGAAAGGTTTGAAGATGTTTCAGGCATGTAATGACCCAATTTTGGAGTTTAGAGGGCAGGGCAGCGGGAAAGATATGGGCAGAGCGCAGCTGTTGGAACTTTTTGACGTTCTAGAGACAATGGGTCCAAAGGCACAACCTTCAAAAAAAAAGAACAATGAGCAACTTTGAAACTCTGTTCTGTGGGAAGGGCTCAGAAGAGGTATTTGAAAGAATCTGAAACCAGTCTGAACTCCCCTCTATCTATCCATCTGTCTCTCTCTCTCTCTATAATACTTATATATAGATTATATCTATCTCACTATCTCTAAGACGTGGATCCACTGCTGCGTGAAACCTCAACAACAATCACATTAGTGAGCTGCTGTATTGGCAACCAATCAGGCCTATTCCCCTTGTGCCTTGATAAAAATGTTAACGGGATGCGGCGATCGGTTACAACAGCAAATTCATCTCAAAAACCTCCCCTCTATAAAATCAGGATCAGTGGGCCCACAAATCGGAACATTGCCACAAACATAGCCCCTCTATAAAGGTCTGGTACCTGAGTCCACCTGAATTGGTCATAAGTCACATGTTAGGTTACAAATGGCTTGCGAATGGCCTTCCATAAAATCAGAATCTTATTTTTTGTCATTGTTTTGACACTTTGTGCACAGACCTTAAACTTAACTACATTAAATGGTCATTTTAAACCACCTGTGGGTATCACCATTTTAGTGAGGAAAATGATTCTTGCATCGTGCATATTCAGACCCTTTCCTCATGGGCCTCCAAAATTGCAGTTGCAGGAACGTGCGTTCAGGTGTTGATTGATGATGAGATTGGTGACCACAGTTCATGCTCTATAAAATCAAGAAATAATCAAATATTATTTAATACAAATGGGCATCATAATGCCAGGTTCTCCCTCTATAAAATCGAAAAAAAAACGAAAAATTGTCACAAGATGAGCCTCCCCCCAAAAAAACAACTGAATACAAGATACCCTCTCTATAAAAATGGGTTCCCAACCTCTATAGGCTATGTCACAGAAAAATAGCCAAATAAAATTTAGCTCTTAACCGGTACCGCCATTTTATAGAGGAAAATGGCAGGAGGATTATATATATATAATTATACATATATACACCTATAATGGCCTATAATGTAGATATACACCTACTAGATACACAATGATATACCTGGAGGATGTGAGGCCTGCTATGCCATGGCTGCCATGGTGCCTTCTCCCAAGATGTCGGTGCCACGCCAGGTGCTGCTACTTCCAGCCGTGCCACGGAGGGACTGGAGTCGCGACGGGATCAAAACCCAGCAATTTTACTTGAATATATCTGAATAATATCTGAATATGATATATTTATGTGATCTTATATACATGATTATACATGTATATACGGAATATGATAATATATGCATATCATACCCCAATGTCCAATTCTTAAATCATGTTAAATGTCGTTCTACCTTTTCTCAAGCTTTTTCTGATGTACCATGATAAATCCTCCACAAGATCTCCTTTGCGTACAAGGGTGATAAAGGGTTCAGCACCTAAGTGGAGACACCAGCCCAAGCTGGAACACTTGATAAGGAACACTTCAAACAAAAATACGATGGATGTTGATATGCTATATCGGCTATATATGCTAGAGGAAGACGTAAGCAACCTGAGTCAAGTTCTCAACTGTTCCGGCCTGGATGAAAGGCTCGGGCTTGTAGAAGATTTCCACGTCAACCATTTGCAACTTGTCGTTCACGACTGCGACGCCAAAGCCGTACATTTCAATGAGCCGTCCGTCCCCCTCCTTGCCTGAGAAACACAGACAACATCATCACAGACGCAGTGCTTCAAATGTCAAATCTTGATCTTCTATGACTTTGCTGCTTTTGACGTTTCTGTCAGTTTCTGTATGTCTCTGTGTATAGCCTGAGAGCTGCTTGGAACCAGCCCATACCACACAGCACGGCACCATGGCACCTTCGTAGCTTCCAGTGAAGTGTCCCCAGTGACGCCAGGTGAAGGACACCCGAGGCGGGGGAGAGAAGACCTCGTCGACGTTGCAACATGAACTGCCATCAAAAATCTCTACATGCGCTACATATTCATGGCAAGGCAACAAAAATTTAAATTTCACGGATTCTTATTAGATCTTATATTGGTTTTTGGATTGGTTTCTTATTTCATTCTGGAACCAATTAACATCAGTTAAATATGATGGTGCATGGCTGATGCAGGCACACCTCTAACACCTCCCAGGGGAAGGCGGCAAAGGCACTGTGGAATTTCTCATGTGACTGTTCCTGGGCTGCAGCGATTCCATTGATGACGCAGAAGCGGTTTCAATAGTTTCAATGATTCAGAATATTCAGATTGTCCATGAATGGCCAATGATTCAATGATGCTGATGGACAATGACGTTTCATGATATTTTGATGATGTTTCATCCTGATGGTCTACAGAATCTGATTCCAAACGCCACATGGGTAGGTGGTGAAAATGGCATATGGCGGTAGGTAGGTCAAGCACTATGCTACTAGGATCTATTAGCGCTCATAAATTCAGATGCTCAGAAAATACTGGACCAATCCAATGCCGACACCCACCGTTTCAATCCGTTTCATGTCTTAACATCGAACGAACCTCCAACCAACTCGAAGCGATCCGATCCGAGCTGCCCAATTGATCCGGTCAACATCATAGATGTCCACAGGGCATTTCTCTAGCAGCACGCTGTAGTTCCCAATCTCGAGTGGCACAGAACATGACAAAAACCCTGAAACAATGTTGAACTTGCCAAAAAAAGGCGAATGGCGCAGTGAAACGTATCTTGATAGAGCGTAAAATATTGTAATTTGCGGGCCAAACTTAACCAAACCATCTGGGACAATCTCTGACAATCTCTGATCCACTGACGAAGCTGCGTGGTTTGCTTCATCGTTGTTGTACTTCTTGCCACCATTGGCACTGAGGTGAAACCTGGGGAGCAGGCCGAAGTTCGGCCGAAGGCCCACAAGGCCGGGCTGGGATGCCGACACTTTGGGATCCACACTGCGATGTTTGTTGGGATCCAACTTGTGGGAACGCTCCATTTCCCAAGTCTTCACCTAGCAGCCACAGCAGTTGCAGCAGCTGCAGCCGTTGCAGTCGCACATCCTGAGGCCATGGCCAAGTTCTCCACGATCATCTCCAAGGAGCCAACTGGGTGATTCTTGGTCTTCCCCTGTCAGAGAAGCAGAAGCAAAAGGGGCAAACACTCTGTCTTTTGAAAATGACATGAAGATCATGAAGATCATGAAAGATCATGAAGGATCATGCAGGTTGAAGAAAATCAAGAAGCAAATCTGCTGCTGAATTTGCTGCAGTTCTCAAATATTCTCAAACTACAGAGGTTGATGTCTTGAGATCCGCCTTGAGAAAGTAGAGGTTCGCAACCGTATAATCTGGAGGTCCACCAAACCTGGCGATTCGGCCACTCAGTTTTCCAAAACAAGGAGAAAAAACCTAAAGAAAGAACCTAAACAACCTGTGCCCTGCCTCCATTCCACGTCTTTCTCATCCATGAAAGCGCGTTCTGGCTCCACCATGCCAAACTCCTGTCACAAAGAAACACACATCGCTGGTGATTTAAACCATGGTTGGGGACCCGTGTAGTGGCATTCATACTTTTTGGGACGAAACAGTCGGCAGAGCATGGTGTGACATCCCGTGATATCCCGTTGTGGGCCTTCTTGATGGCAGCCAATTCAGTGCGCAGCCCATCCAACTCCTGGCGATTCACAAAACCTATCGATGCTGAGCCTGGCGAGCCTGGCCGCCCGGTTGTTCAATGGTCCTCCTTGCTCAAGGGCTTGCCATGACCATGTGGAACGAGGGGGCCACGCATATAAGTCCTCAGATGCCCCGTTTCATCAAAGCCGCGGTTCGACTCTTCCTATCTTCATTCATATCCTCATATCAACATATATCCGCGGACCCCAGCCGACGGCCCGGGGGGCGTGTAAGAGAAGAGGGGACACGACACAAGGAGCAAGAATCGGCCGACCCCGCCGGCAGCAGCAAAAGGGTGAAAAAATATTTGACACGCAGCAAGGAGCAAGAGCAAGAAGGCAGGAGAAAGCAGCGGCAAGGGCAAAAAGACAGCAAATGTTTTGTAGGTTCAGAAAGCAAAGTTAGGCAGGACGGGCCGTTGCCCAAGGCCCGTTCCGTCCCTATTTGAATGTTTCGAAGCCACCGTTTTCGAGCCTTGGCAGCTGAACATTTCGAGGCTTGGTGGCTGGACTTGGATTGGTTGGCCAGCACCGGGCAGCAAGAGAGGACGAGGAGCAAGAGCAAGAAGACAGGAGAAAGCAGCGGCGAGAGCAAAAAGACAGCTAGTTTCTTGTAGGTTCAGAAAGCAATGTTAGGCAGTACCGGCCGTTGCCCGGAAGCCCGTTCCATCCTTCAGGGCCCTGCTGTTTGAGTGTGGCGAAGCCGCCCTTTTCGAGCCTTGGCAGCTGGACTTTTCTTTCCAAGAGGCTATAATTTCACCTGTCGTTGTTTTGGTATTTGGAGGGTCTCCACCTTGTAAAAAAAAACGCTTAACATCAGTATTAACATGTCTGTGTTGCCGGCCTCCTGCTCGCCATGCCCACAACCTCTTGGGGTCGGTGACAGGGGGCGTAGCCCTGTAAGCCCCGCGGCCATGGCACTGCTGTGCGGCATTCTCTCCTCTCCATAGGAGAGAGGTAAAAACATATGCCATTTTTTCGATCTTGTGGATCAAGATGGGTCAGCATGGCCCAACATACGCCCCAAAACGGGCGCAAGCTGGCCCAACATAGCCCCCAGATGGCCCAACATGGCCCACAAGCTTGGGCCCACATAGCCCCAAGATGGGCCAACATACCCCCAAGATGGGCCCCAAGATGGGCCAACATAGCCACAAGATGGGCCAACATAGCTCCTAAGATGGCCCCAAGCTGGTCCAAGACGGGGCCAACATAGCCCGAAGGTGGGCCAACAACCACCACCACCACCACAACAACAACAACAACAACGACGCTCTTAAAGAACACTAAGCAAATTCCAAAATAAGCTCAGGTAGCTTGTTTTGAGGGCCCCAGTCTTTGTTTGTACCGACGACGACGACGACGACGACGACAACAACAACAACAACAACAACAGCAGCAGCAGCAACAACAACAACAACAGCAACAACAACAACAACAACAACAGCAACAATCAACAACAGCAAAAAAAAAACGACGACAACGACAACGACAACGACATCGACAACGACAACGACAACGACAACGACAACGACAACGACAACCACAACAACAACAACAACAACGACAACGACAACGACAACGACAACGACAACGACAACGACAACGACAACGACAACGACAACCACAACCACAACCACAACCACAACCACAACGACAACCACAACCACAACCACAACGACAACGGCAACGGCAACGACAACGACAACGACAACGACAACGACAACGACAACAACAACAACAACAACAACAGCAACAATCATCCTTTACCCTCATTTCTTCTTTATAAACTCTTTATGATCCTTTTCCCTCTCGTGGGCCCCTGGCCGGCTGTCGGGCGTAAGCCCTTAAATCAACTTCAAATTCTAGAGGCTAATGATGCTATACGAGGTCATAGAAGGTCTACAGACTGATGAAATCATTGAAAATTGCACCAAAGGATATGCCAAGGCTCTGCGCAAGTGATGGAGGTTCAAGCTCAAATGCCATCGACATAACGAGAGAGACGCCATCCGACCCTCCACGTCCACGTGTGTAGTTTCAAAGGCTGCGGCATCACGATTTCAAGGCAAGAGACCATCAAGAACTGCCAATTCTATCCAATTCTTATCAAAAATCATAAATCATGGTGAGTTTCCATCCACAGTCTAAAAAGATCATCGTCTTGGAGCAATTGGCTTCCGGGCTTCCCCAAGGCACAAGATGCGCCAGCTGTAGCGCTGTTCCCATCAGGGCAGCGACAACCACCTTTCATGATCTTTGAATCTTTCATCAAAGTTAGATCTGTAGAGAAGAAAATAGAAAGGCAAATCCCAATAATATTCTGAACTCTTAATTTTTTTAAAGGTGTTTCCAGGTTTTTCTATAGAGACATGGTGCCATATTTCTTCCCAACCTGGCAGCAGTTCGCCAATGCAACTGCGACGGCTACTGCGCAGGCCGCGTGGCAGCAGCGCAGTACCCAAAGGCTCCAAGTGGAGCCTGGACGGGAAATGTAACGGGACATGTAGCGTCGGTGCTTAGTCTTGGTAAAGAAAAGCGCAGGAAACCTATTCCACTGACATCATCTGACATCCACATCCTGGGATATCCTGGGAATGCTGTCAGTCTTGGAGCCTGCTTCGGATGATGCCGGTTTGATATGACTTCGAACATTCAGTGCAGACCTCATCGCCAGCATGATCGCTGGAGAAGTGAAGGAGTAAATTACTTGCTATAGGGACTGAGTCAACACGTTCGGTGACGGGTGAAGAACTATGAAGAACTGATGAGTATGAGCTGAGTGAAGGGTGAATGTTAACCCTGAGTGAAAGCCACTTGGGTGTAGGTCAAAATGTGGTGCCTGAAGAATGGGGTGGTTTGATACTGAAGATGTCCGAAATCGCCCCAAAGGGAATTCTGCCTCACCCTGATTATCGTTAGCAGTGTTCTGGTTGGTTTTTAAAAGTCAGGATGTCTGGTTTCCACCATTTTGGTCACCCTGGCGATGACGATACTCTCGGGGTGAAGCACAGCTCGACTGGAAATTTCTTGGCTGCTGGCATCGAAGTCACACTTGGCACAGCGATATGCCTGCCGTCCCAAGTTCGAAATTCTGCTGTCAACCCGCTGTTTGCCACAGAAGTCTGATGCAGAACCTGATCTATGGTGAAAGTAGTGTTTTCCTTTGTCCTTCGCAGCTTCTCTAAACGCTAAGGACAGAAGCAACACAAGGTTGCAATCAGACTTCAAGATTTTGAGTCAGCAGCCAGTAAGCAGGCATTCGCAGAGCCAACAAAGGTACGATGCAAAAAACGGGGACTTGAAATATTTGAAATCTCAGTTCAAACAAAAAGAAAGGCAACTGCTGGGGACGAGAGCACAAGTGATGCCAGACTGTGAATCGACCTCCCAAATTTTGCGGCGGTCGCACTCTGCATCGCAGGTGTGGCAATTTGGAAAACTGCCACACCACAGCCTCGAATCGTCTCCGGAAAAGCTTGAGAAAAGCCGTACAAAAATTGGACGAAAAATCATGAAAAATCAACAAAAATTGAGGGGCGACGGAAGTTGAAGGAAGCAAGGCTCCAGCAATGGATGATCATGAAGGTCCAAGCAAAACAAGGCCTGCAGGAAGATATTCAACAACTTTGAAACACTCCAATTCTCCAATCCAACACACACACACAAAACAGATACACGAGAGAATTCAAGACAGAAAACTTCATCACAAGTTCAAGCGATTTCGCGATTTCGGCACCTCTGATGGATCGGTCTCCAAACATTTCAGGTTCCAGCTTTGGCTCCTGGCTTCGCTTCGCGGTGGGAGAACATCATGCCACTCTTCTTTTTCAAGTTGTGTGCAACGTCATGCACTGCCATTTTATTCAAGATTTTGAATAGCAAATGGAGCCATTGGACCAGCAGAGTATAATAAGATATAATAAGATATCATATAAGATATAATATAAGATATAATGATCTGTAAAATCTACAGAAATCTACAGATCAGAGATGGTTGAAGCATGTTGAACCTGGGCCGCCGAGATGAGCCGAGATGAGCCGAGATGAGCCGAGCATCCGGTCAGATGTCCGATCACTCCAGTCCTGTGGGAAACGGATGGGCAAACCACCTCTGCCATGGTGGCCTTGAGACGCACCACTGTCCCAGCTTCTCCAAGGCTCGGCTTCAAGCTCTCAGCCTGAAATTCAACGCGTTCAGCTACTTGAAGTAGAAAGTTCAAGATGTTCAAGTAGACATGGTATATAAATGGTATTCAAGTCAAACATCAATCATCACAAATGGAATATGATAGGACAATTATGGCACATCTGGATATTATACTTTAAAACATCTTTTGAACAGTCCTTTGAAGCAGATTGGATGTCTTAGAGATTCTCAAAGAATTAACTACCGAGTCATACCCAACAATGCCCAAGAACAGCATTACATAAACCGTGAATAAGCAGTGACTTCACCTCTCAAGACCACCGTCAACCAATCGCATCTTTTGGGAGCTGTGGTACGCGACCCCACCAGGTCGAAGCCGAGTGAAGCAAGGTAAGCAAGGCCCAAAGCTCGCAGCACTTGGCCAAGGCGTCACTTCATGTCCAAAACATCGAATCTTTGAAGAAAAACATGATTTATCATTAATACTAAATATATATACATAAATATACTAAATCATATCACATCACATCGAATCATGATTCGCAATTACTGATCATTAAAATCATTTATCATTTGTGAGTACCGAACGGGTGGGCATTGCCTGCAGAGCCAAGTGCTCGAGCAGAGGACTTTTCTGCTTCTCCCAACGGCGCGGCAATGCGACGGTACGATTCGGCGGAGGAACGAGAACACACAAGGATTGACACTGGATGGATCTCTAGTGCTTCCAAATGCTTCCAATCATCGCTTGATTCGTCACTGGATTCGTCACTGGATTCATAGCTGGATTCGTCACTGGATTCGTCACTGGATTCGTCACTGGATTCGTCACTGGATTCGTCACTGGATTCGTCACTGGATTCGTCACCGGATTCGTCACTTGCTTCATCTTGCTTCATTTTGCTGTTTTCAATCCATCCAAAATGACAGCAAAGTGGGTTCATGCCAGAATCCCGCTGGAAAACAGCATGTGTTTGAAAGTACCAATTTGGAACCGTGACATTCACACTCGCCCTATCTCAGTTGTCAACCGCCAAAACTGGGAGTCCGTTTGTTTATGTTTGAATGCTGTGATATGCGGTGACGTTGTGGATTGGACCAAGGATTGGACCAGTGGATAATTGAAAAACAATTAGTTCAATCTCGCAGGATCCGTGATGATCCTTGACTGTTTCCATGCCTCCGCAGCTGGTGACACAAAGATGTGCGGCTGCGCCACTGCCTTGTTCTCATCTTTGGGGTTTCCCAAAAAGGATGCCTTGGCGCCTTCCCTAAGTTGCAAACGTCACCCAAAGCCTGAGAAGTTGGGCAGATTGAAAAATCTCGCCGGATTCCGCATCTTCTGCCATTCTGGATCACAGACTGGCTGCAAAGAATGCAAATCACTGGTTCCAGGAGTGTCCATCTGGGTAGTGTCTTAAAATTTATTTCAGAACGTCACCATATGCCCCAATACTCAATCGAATCAAACATCTTTGATTTTGAAAGGTGAAAAAAAACACCCAGATCGACTGGTGATGTATCTGCAGCCTGAGCTGCGCCAAGTCTCTCACGACTTCATGCTATGAATTCAGAAACACGGGACCAGGACCACAGTGCCAGGTTCCAAGCTCCGCTTTGCTGGCTCAAAAATGTAAATATGAAAATGTATGAAACAGCATCATAACAGTACTTCCAGGATCTTCCATGACTGGAAAAGTCGATCCAGAGATGTTGACATCTCTGACATCATTCGCCGCTTTTGGTCCTAGATCCGGTTCAAACTTCGCTGAGAAGGCGCTTTGAAGGCGCCCGAGCTAACCTTTGAGCTCGGTCAGCTCAGTCCATCACCTCTCTGATTTCGTAGAAAAATGGAGACCAAACATGATCAAAAATGATCAAACAGCTTTGCTAATTTTGCTACCCAACATATTTCCCAACATATCCGACATATCACACCTCAAAAATCCTCAAAACATCTCAAAACTATGCGCCTTTCTCTTTCTCCTCTTTCTCAGCCTTTCTGGCCTCGGCGGAACATTCCCACGGATCTCTGGAGCAGAAAAAGAAACGCATCTCTGGGGTCCAAACCCACGGAAGCGCGGGCAAACCTCAACGGTGGGCTGACAGCATCCAAATCATTCTAAATTTATTAAATCTAAAAAATTGTCAAAAATTTGATATCAAAAATGAGATCATCGTCAGTCTATTGTCAGTTTGTCAGTTTGTCACAAGACTCAGCTCTTGGAGCTCTACGTGTCCTGGAGGCTGATCGAGAATCTCTTCTCAGCGGCCTCAGAAAAATGTCAACGCCATGGACAAAAAGATCCGGCACCAAACTGCTGGAGTGGAATTGTCCAAAGTTGAATTTTGCTTAGTTCATTTTAAAAATCATTAAATTAGCATCGAATTATAGATCTAATTATAGTTCATTTATCATCATTTATCTGCATTTATGTTCATAAATTCTTCATATATATATATATATGTTCCTTGATGTTCATTGGTACAGCTTTATTTGGTGTAAAGAGTTCAACTCGGAGTCACCTGAGGCTTCCTGCAAGGCGGATGGAAACCAAGGCATCTGACCTCCAAACGCTGCTCGACGCCGAACTCACATGACATGCCACGTGGATTCCCATAGTGTCCATCGGATGATATATGTTCTTTATATTTTCTATAACTATCCCGTAATGGATTAGGTTCTAATTAAGATCTTTGATGATCTTTGATGATCTCTGATGATCTTTGATGATCTTTGATGATCTTTACACCTCTTCACGTCATCTTCATCTTCTTCGTGTTTTAAATCTAGGGACAGCACCATTGAGTGGCCGCAGCGGACGGGAGATGACCTCAATCACGAAATCGAGCTTGGAACTAACATGTGGGGGTGTCCAACATGTCTATTTAAAGAAGATCTACTGTTTAAGTTAAGTTTTCATATACATCTAAATTGAAACAGGACGGACTTCACTGATCACCACTTGACACATATCTCATAAACATCTTGCTGTGTGTGCGTGTGCCATTCACAAAGCAGTTCTCTGCCTCTCGAGCATCCACCGAGGAAGCGCGTCTCATACCTGTCAAAGTCATTAGAGCAGTTTGGAATGGGCCCAAACTGTCTTCATGCGCTTCATGTGGAGGTTCTCACTTCCCCAAGATCATGGCCATGATTGCCATGTGAAATCACACTGCACCAAAGTGCTCACAACTATCCGTCCTACAAATATCGGAATGGGGTCCACACTGAGCACACACAAGAAAAAAAAGTTTTGGCAAAATCACTGCACTCCCAGCCTTCTGGCACCAGACGGGGCAAGGTGCGAGCGCCAAAGAAGCGAAACTCCTTCGGGTCGGGGGGCAACACTGCTTTGCCTCTGGCCTGGACGCTACATCCATTCAACACGTTTCAACATTAATGCCAAAGTACTTTGATTATCTGTGATATTCTGTGATTATCTTTGACCCATATCGAATCCATTTCTTTCAACACCCTGTAAGGAACTTCACCAAGCAGTTCCCATCTCGGCCTGTCGAGGAGGCGCCGATTGTCGTCGAGGCTTCGACTTGGGAAGTGGTTCCCCTGGCGATGCCATATGGTAGCACGGTAGCACCATGGGAGGTAACGAATCAAGAATTTTCAAATGGTGCTATCATATCAGAATCACATCAATCGATATGAATATGATATGAATCATACACATACCATAGACATATTGAAGATCATTGAAGCATTCTGACTGAATTTCAAGCGCACTATCGCCTATCAGATCTATCAGTATTGCAAATTGTACAGCTGAATCCAAAAACCCCAGGCCTCGTAGCATACTGGCAAACAACTGGGACGCACGGCCTGCACAGCCCAAAGCTCCTATGGAATCCTATGGATATGATGGATCTCTGGGAGATCGGTGAGAGTTGGTGAAGGCTCACAGGCTACAGCCATACACCCAGCCAGAGCCACCATCCTACTCTAACGTCCTGATTTTGACTCCACAGTCCCAACCCAACTTTTTATCATGTGGAATGCGCTCTGGAAAGATGTGCTTTTCCCATGTTTCCCCTGCAGCTTCATTCTTTGCCCATGCCCTTTCGCAACTTTGATCCCGGACGCAAACGACCCTCATCGAAGGCAGGTCTCATACGAGAAAATCTCGCGCCTGTTTTAGTATTTTTAGTCGCTTGGGGTGCCGCTGAACCAATGGACCAATGGTGTTCAAATATGTTATTGCTTAGTGTCGTTTGATGTTTTGTGTCTTTTCATGCTGCAATGTGCTGAACAAATTCAACATATTTCAACAAAGGCATCCAAAATAACTTGCAGAGATGCTGGTGCTCATCCAAAAGGCTCAATCTGTCGGGCTGCCTGAAATGCCCAGCAGCGACCGCCGCCCAGGCAAGAGGATGTCTGGCAAGCGCAGCGAGAACCAATCAGAAATAGGATTGAAACAACGACAAATATAGACAATGCAACATAGATCAACATAGATCAACATAGGAATATAAATGACTAAGACATACTAAGACAATGCCACATAGAAATCCAAGAAGATCAGGAAGGAGGGCCAACACCCATTCCACCCATTCCAGGTGCATCGCCTGGTGACGGCACTGCGTCTGGAGACGGCGCTCGAGAGCTTGCAGCCTTCGGGCACCGGGAAGAAACAACATGAAACAACTGGAAGCGACCAATTGGGATAGTGAGTTGATAGTGAGTTGATAGGATGTTATCTATGTTCCTTTGTTCAGATCAATGAAACGATGTTTTCTCAAGAAATGCAGCAAGCTCAAGATTCAGTTCCAAGCCTCACAGCCTTCACACTCTGGCTCATCCTGCACTGGTTCGAAGTATTTTGTGAAATTTTGTTCTAAATCCATCCCAAGCAAAAACCAGCAAAGCTGTATCTGCACCGGAGCAACTGACGGTTTCCACCTCGGTTGATCTGGAAGAACAACGAGCTCTCGCCTGCACTGCTTAAGGCACTGCTTAGGGTGGGGACAAGCTGGGCACCAAATTCCAAATGCCCCATGCCCCGGGCACCGCTGCACCGCTGGCGCCTCCTCGAAGCTTTCGACCTGGCACAGAGATGGCGCCATGGCACCATGGCGCTGACGACCAGTGATGCTCCTGTGACGCACCTCCAAAGGTTTGTCATCGAGAAGCAGAAGAGGCGCAACCAAGGGTGCGGTAGGAACCTGGCAGAAAATCCATGAAAACCAATGAAAACCAATGAAAATCAATGAAAATCGTTAATTTCAAAAGAAGTCATCGAAACTTGACATCTTCAAAAGCATCTATATCATCTATCGACATTTTCCTCGCACCTCACAGCGGAACCTTTGCTTCCCTTCGGCTTCTCTTGACACGCCTGCACCTCCTGAACCTCCCCGTGGCTGGCACTCATAGCAGCAATGACGTGGAGCACATCGGCGTCGTGAGCTGCATCGTCCTCAGGCACGTTGTGCTTCGTTGTGCTTCGTTGTGCTTCACTTGCATTGCTGAACACCTTGGTTGAACACATTGCTGAACAGCTCACCAGACGTTGGGTCACCTTGCACAAGGCTCTACTAGTCGCGTTTCACCCAACCACACAACTTGGAGGGGCCACTTCAATGGCATGGTTGTGTGGCAAATTGATGAAAATGTGCGGGGTCCCAACGTATTGTACGTATGTCTGGAATTTCGACCCATGCCCACATCCACAAGGATAACATGTTCGGTGAAAAGAAAGCGTTCAGAGTCAGGTATGAGCATCTGTCCTGGATCAGCTTATCAGGTTGACCCGGAATTGATGTTTCAGCCTGGCAGTGGAATGTTTGGCTTTCAAAAGCATTTCGCGATTGCCTCTATCTCTGTTAGTCTCTGTGTTCCTCTTTCTCTGTCTTCCAACTTGCGTGTCGATGCATGTCGCATTGGAACTCGAACTCGTCACTTGGGTGAGTCCAGCCATGTCCAGCCATGTCCAGCCATGTCCAGCCATGTCCAGCCATGTCCAGCCTCCACCTCATCGCTCACGGTGACCTCGTTGCACTCCTGTGCCACAAGTGCCATGAGTGCCATGAGTGCCATGAGTGCCCTGGAGCCCCGGCGCCCTGCTCCCGAGATCAACCGATGTCGACACAGGTCACCCGAAGTGGTAATTCACCATAGGCAGTCCTCATCTCCCGAACGCTCATCAGGTACAAGCCTAAGTCTAGAACAAGATTGCACAACCGCCAGGAGTTAGACAGGATGAAATGCGAGCTTGAATGGCTTGGCTGTAAGCACAAAATCCTCGAAATCATGACTTGGGCAAGACTGTCTCTGGCTTACTAGGTTCAGTTAACGTCCGAGAACCCTGCTCGTCAGGAACATCAGCAGCACTTAGCACCTCCGTGATGTTCATGCGTTTGACGTCTTCAGATCCCCACCAAGCAACAAACCAGAAAAAAAAATGGGATTCTCTTCCATCAATGAAGCAACCAAGCTTAGACCTGCAGTCCCAAGCTATTTTACACTGAATCTGATCCCTTGATATTTGACCTGGGGGGCTCTGGCCTGGCCTCTGCTCGTGGCGAGACGCTGATGGTGGTGGATTCCTGGGCTTGGGAAACAAGATCTGGTGGTTTCACCCCTGGAAAAAGATTATTCATGTGGGATCATGATATCCCAACTATTGTTGAAAATAAATGTGAAGTCGGCAACCAGATAGGTATAACGGATTATAACGGTATAGTCATAAGTGTATATCTGTATATCATAATATATATGTGTGTGAATATCATCCATACAAAACAACTCGACCTATTTTCTTCACATTCTGCTGGGATCAGAACACGGCCGTTGTGGCCAAAAGCGTGAAATATGCACTTTTGGCCACAGGCTTGAGAATGGGTTGCAGCATGTCGTTGTTAACAGTCAGTATATATATATATATACATCATGTTTTTGTACAGCATATGTTTCATTATCACGTATATCATCGTTTTATGTTGTCATAATATTGTCGTAATAAACATAAAATGATGATATGTGATCATGATCACATGATCTTGTCATAATCTTGTCATGTTGTCACCTTGGTTTTTCATGATCTGCACACCGTTTCACCAAGGCACCGAATCTCCATGTGCAGCGGCCACACTCACAGCCCGCAAGGTGGGACTGCGAGCGCACGGCTCCAGCACCTACAACAAATGAACCCCGAGGATTTTAAAGACTGTAGAGCTTACAGTGCCAAAGAAAACATACTAGCATATAATAGCATATAATAGCTATACGATATATCACACTGATTCAGAAATACACACATCAATCCAACTCATGGTAGTTGACGCCATTTGATGTGGCACCTTGTGGCTAATGTCGCTGTTGCTGTTGGCCTCCACTGAAAGACGCGAAAGATCCACCGTCACCGTATCGGTGGCTCGCTCCGAGGGCCTGCAGTCTGGCCTGGCGCTTCGCAAGATGCCAGGTTGCAAGCCAAAAAACACGAACATTGCGTTAAAACAATGCGTATAACTGTATCATATTGAATATATATATATATATTATTAATATTAATATATATATATATATTAATACGTATTGTATGATACTGTATAATATACATGTGGTACATGTCGACAGTAAAGAAATATATGTCCAAGCAATTGCGGCCAAAAAGGCAATGCATTGCGCGGGCAGCCCTGGAGTGGAAGTTCCAACACCTCGATGTCTCGCGTTGGCACTGCTGTGATCTGATCTTAACAGGCGCTGAGCTCCAGCTCCAATGCCGAGGCCCAGGCATTTCCCATGGAAAAGAGGTTGGGCTCCGCGGTTGGAGTCTTTGTTCACTGTGAAAACTGAATTTCTGATGCCATGAATTGCCATGAATTGCCATGATATGATACATATGCCGCATATGTCATCTGAAATCTGTGAGCAGCCGTTTCTGCCGGTTGCTATGAGAAGGCCTTCTTCTTGAATGAAGTGTGTCGAAGAGTGAGCACTACTGTATCTGTACCTGTTTATTGGTGTTTATTGTAGCGACTGCAAAAAAAGACATCGACTATCGTCTATCGTGGCTTGGTTTGTTTCGCAGCTTGGCATCTGTTTGATTCCACTATTATAAACCTCCATTCCATCACTCGGAGCAAAAAGCGTCACGAAAAGTGCCCTGTAGCAGCAATAGCAACACCACACTCTAGGATCATACCCCCCCTCTGACCTTGGAGCCTGTGATGATATCATACTGTATCTACAGGTTGAAAGATTGGCCATCTGAACACAGTCACTTCATGTCATATCAACTACAGTTAGCATCAATTAACATCTGGTTATTTAACAGTGCGCCATGGAAAATCACCATGCTATTGATAGGTAAACCATCTATTTCTATGGGCCATCTATACCATGGCTATGTTAAATAATCAACCATTAACATCAATTAAGTGAGAAGATCTGTGTCAATTGAGGTCTCTGAGTGTTGGACCCACTGACTTCCCTGTATCTCCTGTGCTCGGGTGAGATCCTCCTCGATCCGAACTACACAGCCCTGGCGGTCGCAAATCCACAAACGAAACATGAAAGTCTTGGAACCTGAGTCTGTTAGCAGATTATGTCAATATGTCAATCATATCCACCTTGGAAAGCTATTTCGGGTGAACCAGCTGCGGAAAATTTATCATAGACTGAAATGTCAAACTGGTTGCCTTTGCAGTTGCAATATTCCCTTTTATCCACAGAAAATCGAATGTCGGCCTCCTGGAACGTCGAGCTTTGGCTTGCCTGAGCATGTCCCAGTATTTGCCAATGTCATTCAACATTGGTAAACGAGCAATTCATCGCACTTTCAGATTTGATCATTTGCAGTTTCAACTTTTTCGGTGTCATCTTACACTTTCATGCAAACTATTCATCTCCTATCCCAGTAGTGCTCAATGTCGAGTCTGCCCACCTGCACTGGTGAAGCCACTTCAATCTCCTGGAAATGGCTTTCCGATGCTTTCTTATGCTTTGTGGTTTGTTGCGCTGTGGCCAATGTAGTCGATGTAGTTCAGTCCTCGTCCCAACACTCGAAGGTCTCTTGCATTCGCACCTAGCAGTAGCACGGAATTCCTTCTGTGTTCCCAATCTTTTCAGGTTGAGACGGTTGAGACGGTTGAGACGGTTGAGACCTCGCCTCTGGAGGTGGTTGAATCCTTGGAGCCTCAATCCAAAGCAACACAGATCGATGCAAATCCACACAAATCCCTAAGAAATCCGATGAACTGGGATGAATTGAGATGAACTGGGCACCAAAATCAGATCCGACTTGTCTCAAACTAAGCTGACTTAGCTGCTGGCTCCAATCAAAGGAGGACCACGCCTTGAGCGAAGCTGTAGCTGCTGTGATCTGAAGCAGCGAGAATCTGGTGACTAGGAGCCCTACCAGCCCATCTGGGAGATCTCCCTGGCACATGCTTCAACGAATTAAAGATTGAAAGAATTTGAAAGAGAAAGAAGGCGATGAAGGCCATGTTTCTATCGTAATTAGATGTAATTAGTCTGGATTTGCATCCACATCACCCTAAAATCGCCATCTCCAATCAATTCCCTTCACGAGACCTTCTGAAGGTACCCAAAGGATTCATAAGGCAAGATTGAACAGCAAAGGATTCCCACAACATCAGTTGCCTCGCAACAGCCTCTGCTGCTGATCTGTTCACCGAGACCTATCATCTTCACAATAGGTAGCATCAGCAGGAAGATAAAACTGCTTCTCAAACCGACTGGGTGTGGCTGAAAATTTGAAGCGGAAACTGCAGAGTTCTCACCTGGGTGGCCACGAAAGGAGCCAAGCGCCCTGAAAGCTCCTGGAACCACCAGGCCAAAAACAAAATTGTTGACGAGCACAACGACAGAAGGTGACCATGAACCGCAAGTGTTGGAAGAAAACAACTTCTGATGCTTGTTTTTTTGTGATTTCTGATATTCACTGATAATTCAGAAATTCATTTACATTGGATGTGTCTTGCAAATGTTCTCATATGTTCTCATTGTATCATGGGAGCACCTTCCCCATCGTCCCCTCCTGTGCTTGGCTGCGACGAAGACCATGCGCAACTGGACCAGATCCCGATTCCTACAGGACTGTGGATTTTTCAGTGGGAATTGTATAGGAAAATGATGGAAAATGATGATCCTGGGCAGCAACCCTGGACAGAAATGCGGTTTCCGCTTTACGCGGCCTTGATAGCCAGGAATCCCATCGTTTTGACCTGATTTGGAGATATTCAGATATACCTATAGCCTATATCGATATCAACAAACACCTCTAGCAAATCTATGCATCTGACGTATTTCACCATTGCATTTTCCCCTGATTCCAATCCTGTTGAATCCTGCCCAGTGCCTCAACGCCTCTTCGCAAGGAATCCTCCATTTCCTTGTCCAAGTGTAGTGCAAGAGATGCTTGCAATTCCCAGATATGGAGGTACTTTGATCCGAAAAGTTCGTAAGAATATGTGCAAGTGGATTTCAAATTAAGCGGTGATCAAACGCTTCCAAGCTTTCATGGGAATGAGTTCCACAGCATACATGCCGCGTCTGTATCTGGGCCGCGAACCTGTGGCCCACCGGGCCAACTTCGAAGGAAACTGCGGCCGAGCACATCCAAACAAGTCTGGAGAACCTCCGTTGCCGGGTGCTGCATCCACATCTGCGTGCTGCATATTTTCCAATGATGTGACCGACTGATGGCCGGCTGTGGACTGCCTGAGGTCTCAAGTCCTCGAAAACCAGGTCGAAAGGCAACTCCTGCAGACTGCAACAGCTCCACCAGCTGTGTTCATAATTTCCAGAAAACCATCCCAGGGTATGAATCCGCTGGCTCTCCTGGCCAAGCACCTCAGCGGGCAGTCCCAATTTCTGTGACTGGTGCATGTCTCTCGTATATCCACAGAGAACAACAGGGCGACGAAGATCAAATAAATGCTTAATGTGTGTACATTCTGGGCAGTTTGTTTCTTGATATTAACACTTCTCAGAGGAAATCGACCCTGCTGGGAAAGGGGAGGTCACTCCACAAGTTGGCCAAAGGACCTTTGACTTGTAAGCCTTGGGGTGAGGATGACATGATAGACACATTGCAGGACGAAGCGTCGAGGTCCCTTCGTTCATTCCTTTTATTTTCTCCTCCTTTTCCTTCTCTTCCAGGAGTTTGAATTCTGTTGATCCTAAATCCTCAGAAAGTCTCTTTGATCTTCAAAATGATACAGTATGTAACGATTGGACTGACAAATACAGATATAGACAGACAGGACCCCCATCCCCAATTTCCCAACTTTCAGATCTCCATCGTCAGAGGTGGCTTCATCCATCATCCCAAGATCCCAAGGACAGGGCGATGTAGACCGAGTGCCATGGCCGCCGGCGGGCTGTCGCTTCGTCCTGGACAAAATGGAACAGTTCTGTTGAGGAAATGGGGAAAGCTGGGATTCCAAGATTATTCTATTTGAATCTATTTGATAATTTTTATATATTTCAAATGGATTCAAATGGCACTAAAAGCAGTTGCCTTTGCTGGAGCAAGAGAGTGCCACAAACCATGCTCCAGGTCAAGTTGAATGCTCATTCTGGCTCCTCTTCTGCCATGGGAATTCGAAATCGTGTACCGCGTTACAGTTGGATTGATTGCTTGGCTCACATTGTCTAGTATTCCTATGTCTGGCAATGGCATTGAAAAGTCTATCGCATTGTGGAAAATGAAGCGAATGTTGCTAACAAATTCTTTTCAAGGCGTTTCTCCGTGAGTCATGGCCCAAAGCTCCAAGTGTTGTTTTGAGTCGTCCGTGGCTTTAGGAACTGCGCAGGATTTGCAAGAAATGACATCTTGCATTACTGTCACTGGCTGACACCATCATTATATGATTTATATGTCATTCATCTACGAAGAGCCTGAGCGTCGGCACATCCGCACGATTTCCAGCACAAGAACAAGAGAAGAAGGTGCATCATGCTGACCACCCACCAATTCTATAGAGAAACCACAAATAGTCAAAGGGATCTGGCCATATCCATCCATATCCATGATTTCATGTTCGGACTACAACACACCTGCCGAAACAGCCTGGGATCAGTTGGACTTCTGGACCAACAAACTGCATGCACCATGATATTTTGCCATACCACCGGACAGGATCTTCTGATTAGTTCTGATTAGTTCTGATTAGTTCTGATTAGTTCTGAGTTTCGCTGGTGGAAAGAACACCATTCCTGAGATTTGAAATTGAAACGGTGTGACATGGTTTGAAGTTGAGAGTGTTTCTCAGACTGGTCATTTTGCGCCCGTTGAAGATTGCAGGTGTCGCAATTGCCTGAGATTGAGAAATGTTTGGGAAGATTGATGATGTGAGGGGCGCTCCAAAATCACAGTTTGAGCTGGTGATTGCGATGGGAATCACAAAACAATGTTGCGTGGAAAAGGGTCAAGGAGATCTTGCAGCCAAAATACATGAAATCTGCACGTTTGAGACCTCCGGGGCTCAGAAGCTCTAAACTCTGGAAGTGTGTCCAACACCTCGAACCCATCGAAACCAAGCAAATCCTTTGAATCCAACCACTTAGAGGATGAAGGTTGATGTAAATTGATATCAATTGGCGCACATCAATGAACTGCAATCACTCGGTGCACTGTGGGAACTGCGCTGCTCTCAGGATCCCACCTCCACGTGGGATTGACACGTTGTCGCTGTGTTTTCACGGCGTCTCTGAAAAGATACGGACCATGTTTTTTTCTTGGCGACTTCTTGCAAACGAATGGTTTTCATGCACTTACTTGTTGTTTTGCCAGCTCTTCACGCTTGGCTCCGGCTACAAGATGCTTAGTGCGTATGAATCCATGCAGACTCAACACCCGAGAATCAATTACCAGCTGTCACCTCCATTCTGTCACTCTTGCGACCACCTGCCAGGCGGCACTGCACCAAGTTTGCGTATAGACTGTACAGTATTGACTCTAAGTCAGACATAGACATATTTGAGACTGCCTTTCCTGCATGAATAAAGACTGATCTTGGATCCGAATGTGCAAGAAACCAAGGACGGCATTTTTAACCAATTCGCGACGGAATCGAAGAAATGCTGCTCTATGAAACAATTGAGATTGAAACTTTCTTCAAATCACTTCAGTCACCTCAAGTTTGTTGAAGTCGCGGGTCAGTACCGTGTGAAGCCCCAAGTTCGCACCAGAATTCAAAGTGCTTCCAGATTGGAGCTGTGGCAAGTCAAACAGAATCATGGCGTTGCCAGCTGACGGGGTTCCATCCGTGGCACCAACATTGAGCACCGTGCCGGTCAGCCCTTTTGGCAAGACATTTGTGAAAATAACTGCAGCTGCTTTGCCATCCTGATCCTCTGCCATTTCCGATCTCCACGCCCCGAAGGGTTGGGCGACTTTGACCTTTTGGCCTTTCTGAATGACCTTTCCGTTTTTGGAGGGATACATCCACTGGGTCACGATGCCGCGATTCTTGCCACCGTAGAAAGCTGCCAAGCGTTCCCCAAAATACTGTTTTGTGCTAGACACTGGGTAGTTGTCGAGGGTTTTGGCATCCCATTGGACAAGGTCCGCACTTGCCACTCGAAGCTCCACACCACTGGCTTTGGTGGCTGGTAGCTCCTCGTATCCCACCTGGTACTCCGAATACCCCTTGCGCAACGCGTCCAGGGATGCTTTTGCATTCACAGCGGTGAATTTACCAAGGTTGGAAGGCAAGTGTGTTGGGCCTTCCAGCCCCCCGTCAAAGGGAACCTGTTCCACGGTGACTTCACCGGTTGTCATCACAACACCAGCGAAAACCCAATGACTCGGAAGGATCCTGGAGGCTGTTTCCGCCATTTTGTTGATGGCCCCATGGCAAGAATCCAAGGTGATTGTCGCTTGAGGGGCGAGTTTCGGAGCCATGGCGGTGAAAAGCTCTTCTGCATCATTCCAGTGTACTGCTTCGTCAGCATAGCCCAGTATCAAAGAGCCTCCTTTTGTTGTGTCAGAGCCATGCCCTCCTAGAACAAGGTCAACTACGCTTCCAGGAGCCTGTCGATTGAGGGCTTGGATGGCTTGGTAAGAGTTTTCGACGCGGTACAAGCGAACGCACTTGCTGCTTCTGAAGGTCAGAAGTGCGTTGGCACTCATACTCATACAAGTTGAAGGCCCCATTATGGTCTCCCTCCTCGGAAGGATAAAACCACAACATGGTCTTGGATTCAGGCGTGCATTTGCCAACTTCCATGAAATTGGTGGTGCTGTCCAACAGAATGTCCGCAGCCTCAGCAGCATTTGCAAACTCCCTCTTGTGAACTTTCAAACCTTGGGAGATGTCTTGGTAATTCTGGAACTCAATCTTGGCAAAACGGATAGAATTGCCCTTGTCGATTTCTTGCTGAAATACCTCACGGCAAACGGAATTGTCCTGTTGAAACAGGGCCAGGAACTTTGTCCCTGAGATATGTCCCGTTGCTGTCAACAGTGAGCCGATGCCCAGCAAGGCCAAAGACATGAAAATGCCATGCCCGCGCCGACAAAACCGGCGCTCTGGCGCTGCAATCTCAACTGACTCAACCTCTACAAGGGACGAGGTTTGTTCGAGATCTTCGAGATCCATGATGCAAATGATGCAAGGTAAGGTGCTCAAAGAGTCCGAGCAAGAAGGCTGCCATACAAGCTTAAATATTTTGCACGTGCGGAGATAGGGGGACTTTTCACGATCAAGCAAGTCACTGAAGTTTCAAGATCCTAGAAGTCCTCAGAAATCACACCGCTGCTCATCATTGCTCAATGCGTGGTTCAGTTTCTGACACAGTACCCGCGCCTGGCCTTGTCATCACTCACTTGATCTGCTGTGCACAAAGTCCTGGTGAAGCCGGCCCGACAAGGCAAGTTAAATTGCAAACATGTTCATGACGCTAGGCAAAAGTTTGGGGGTTGGCAGGGTCTCAGGCTGCAACTGATGCTTTCTGGGCGTCCTTCAACCAAGCTCTGGTCCTGGTTGCCGCGGAGGTGCTTCCGGCCCCACATGAAAAGGAACAGTCTTGAAACCGTGGGTTCCTGTCTTTGATACTTGATCAACAGTCCCATGATGAAGCTTTTAAGGGCATCTGAAGCCACATTCAAGTCGCAGGCCTGATGAGACGAAGCGTCGTGAAATAACAGACTTTTTTGCCGTATCTTTTATGTTACATTTTGTGACTTGCATGGTCGCATTCGAGATTATTCAAGCGCTTTTCCTTTTTCAGCCAAGCCGTGGATTCAATGATGCTAGGGTGGCCGTTTCAGGCCATCTCCAAATAAATTCTGCCCTGCGTGGTGGACCAAATGGGTTGGCCTGCACGGGCCCTTGAGCGACGGCATGTGAATCAGTGGAGTGCTTACAATCAAGCGCTCTTCCTTTTTCAGCCAAGCCATGGATTCAATGGTGCTAGGTTGGCCATTTCAGGCCATCTCCAAATAAATTCTGCCATCCATCCCCAGCATCTCCTGCATCACATCCCGTTACACCACGCAGCAGCACGTGCCAAGTTTTGGTTGGCACACCATGCTTCAAAAAGTCAACAACGGCCTCCAGTACTCCAGCAAAACCCTGTGCGAGTTTTCTAGTTTTGCTCCGACTGCAGGATCCAACTTCTTCACGAAGGTTGCGATTAGCACCTCTTGGAGATAATAAATCTCCATCACACGTGTTGAAAGCCACCTGCCCCTTCTCCGCACCAACTCTGAATTTTCACTGACATGGAGTAGCCAGGAAGCACCCCCTGGACGAAGTGATCCAGGCTAAAAGGGCGGACACCGCCAGGCTTCTCTGTGGGTAGACCAACAGCTGAGAGTAGCATGCCAAACATCTTCCTCAATGTAGCAGCAGAAAATGGCCAAAGTGACTCATGAGGCGCCATTGGGCTGTCAACAAAGAGATTATGTCACTCTGGTCAACCCTCGCAGCTTGATGTCGGGCGTGTCTCCCCCTGGTCTTCGGCTCCTTAATCTTCAGCAGTCTATATGTGACCCCTGGAGCAGAATCTTGGGGAAGAATGAGGTCGCTTCGGAAGGATTGAAGCACCTCCCCAATCCTCAGAATACCTGTCCATGCCAGCGCCAAAACTGCTGCAACGTATGCCCACCCCCAAAACAAGGATACTGTCAACACCGCCAGTAAAACTGACAGGGGTAGCGCTGGATGATGTTGGTGTGGCTCATCAACAAGCCATGCAAACGCGACGTCCCATGCCGATGCCAATTGTCGCTTGACAATGGGCTTCATCATCGCAACTGCATTGATCGTCTCACTGTATTGGCCGTAGGCTTTTCCAGCTGTAAAAAGCTCCCTCCCATACTCAGCCAGGCAGTAGCAAATAGCCTCCGCATCAACTGGTTTTTGGTTGAGTAGACCATGAAAAGAAACTGAATGCCCCCTCCAAAGCCAGCCTCGAAAACGTGAAATCAAGACCTTTCTGTCATCCCTTGTCTGACTACGGATGTCCCTATCAGCCGGCAAGAGAAACATCCCACGCTCTGCAGCTCTTCTGGCCTCTTCTGCGCTCGAAGGGCCCATGGCTGCGCTAACCCCGGGGGCTGAAAACACACATAGGATCAGCCAGCAAATCCAAGGCCTCACCTGTCTACGGGCTACCTCACTACTTCCTTCAGCAGACCGACAAAAGACGGATGAGGACAGGACAAGCAGGACAGAGAACACGCAGCCGAGAAAGAGAAGTCCAGCAAAAAGGGGTCTGGCAGTGCGCAAGTCCAAGGGAAAATCCATCAATGCAGCCAGGGAAGTCAAAAGGACAAACAGGCGAAGCCAGTTGGCCACGAAACGTCTGAAACCAAACTTCGCAACAGCACCAATCCTCTCAGCAGTGAGTTTCTTCCGGAGGCTGCCATGCACGGATGACCTCAAAGGCAATGCACGAGTCGGGTCATCCCTAACATTCAACCGAGGAGAGTAACACCAACCGGGATATGTGTCATAGGCCATCTGAATGGCACACGCTCGTTTCAGAGCAGGCTGCAGCTTTTTGGCTGAACTGCGGCCCTTCGACGGAGCACCCTTCGCCACCAAGGAGTCAACAACGAAACAAGCCCTAGAATGATGCAGTCGACAACTAGTAACTAGAGGATTCCAGGGCAACAACCGACGCATCAGTCTCATAAACATTTATGTGGGCATGCTTTTTCCAGTCCCAGACCTTTCCCAAAGTCCAGTGGGATGATTCCATAAAGTCATTCACAACCAGGCTTTCAAAACCGTGAACAACATCTTCATCCTCAGCGAAACCAAGTCGCAACGCTTTGGCAAACGCAGCAGCTAAATGCTTTCCAAGGCCGTCAGTGTAAACAGCTGACCCTTTTATCCATTTTCCGTCGATCCGTACATGGTGATGACCCCCGTGGCAACGCGCCTCCAGGAAAACAACATCCAGCAAAAAGACCAGGAACCTGAACTCTTCTCGGTGCAAGCTGCCAAACTGACAGGACGCTACAAACCCCAACGCAAGCAAGGTTTGCCAAAAAGTCAACCATGCCATTTTGGAAAGCCTAGGCTGCTCAAGTCCACATGGCCAGCGTTTTCTTCTCCCAACTCTAAGCAGGGTGAAAGCTCTGAAGGCATGCAGATTGCCATGAAGGGTCTTCTTTTCAGTCCTGTCATAACACAAGGGCTCTTTGTAGGGCCTAACAGACGGATGGGCAGCAGCTGAAAAGGAAGTGCAAGGTGGTTCAACAAGGAAAGCCCTGAAGCGGCCTTCCTCAATCATGTGGATAGACCATTCAAGCAGCCTGAGATCGGACATGTCATAGTGATGGGAATTCGACAAATCCAACACTGGCGCCACACAAAATCCAAGCTCTGACATGTGGCGGCTGACTACCCCTGCTCCACCATAAACTTCCACAAAGTCAAAGTAGAGCAGAGGTGACTAGAACGGTCCAACAGAAACAAAATCCTCAGCAAGATCGGTCTCAGGCACAAGCTCCTCAAGCAGCGACCGCACAGGAGAATCAAGCTTTGTGTAGGTGCCCGTTTTGTCAGCATGCCTCCAAAAGTTCTTTGCCTCATGCTCACCAACCTCAGTCCAAGTGAAGGCACCCGACCTGGAAGAGGGGTCGGATGCATACAACCTCGAGTAATATTAAGCCGCAACGTTTGTGAAAACAAAAGGGGCAACAGCAGCAACCATGACAAGCTCTTTTGCGCATTTTCTCTGAAGTGGGAAAATCTGGTTGTCACCCTTCACAAGATCATTCTCATACGCTGCCCCAATCGCAAAAGAAATTGCACCGTCTATACAAAGTACAGAAACCCAATTCCTAGACAGCCTTGCAGGTAACTTTTTCGTAAGTCCAGGAAGCCTTGCAGCACGCAGGGTCAAAACCAACAACGCAAGACGCTTGGCACAAGGAGCAGCGACAGAGACGATGCCATGCTTCTCATCGACTCAGGGCTAGAAACAATCTCAGATCCTGCGGCTTTGAAGGCCCGAGATGACACTACATCTTTCTCAGGGGATCCGGGAAGCCCATGCTTTTCATACGCTTCTCTTGCTCTGGTCAGAGCGGCCGCGGCAAAGGAAACCTCGGGCCTAGTTCCAATTGGCTCAACACCTATTGCAAAGTAGTCATCGATGATCAAACCTTCAAGCCTGCAACCATCAGGGACAGGGTGATTACCCAACGAACGACAGGCTGGATGCAAAAGACCTTCATCATTACCTTCATCAACAAGCAGTTGCTCATGGCTGGCCAAAGCAAACTCAACGCCCAAATGGTCACCTTGAAAGAAGCTTTTGAACCCCGGGAAAACGGATCCTTGGTGGTGATCAACAAGACAACTCTTCAGACCGAAACGGTCCCCTTGGGTAACCCTCTCTCTCTTTTCAGAAGCAACCTTCTGTCTTGCACAAAATTCATCATGAGCTCGGCTGCCCTCAAAATTGGAAAGAGGGTAAGGAAAAGGCAAAAGGTTTGTTTGGGCCCTCTCAACACTGACTTCGGCCTGATGGTAAAAATCTCGCCTGTCTGTGACCGAACCAAAAACGCAATGAGCGCCACGGGGAACATGCATCTGGCAAAGCAAAGGCCCAGGAGGCAGGAACTTACTGGGCCCATCAAGGTGGAATTCCGAGGCATTTGGCAACCTTCTGTCTCCCTCTGGCGATCACACTCTGGGTTCTTGCACACTTGTAGAAATAACCGGGGGCCAGAGGAGCACCAAACAAGGACAGCAAACCACGGCAATCCCAAAGTCTCGCAAGTTTGAGGCACTCATTCCTCGATTCATACTTGAAGCTATAGGAACACAGGCACTCTCCAAAGAAAGTCCATGACAGAGGAACGCAGGCTCTTGAAATGGTAACCACAAGCAGTTACGCAAGTACTTCTCCATGGGCCATTTTCCCTCGCCAGACAAACGCAGACGACTTGCATCAAGTTCACGGTGAGGCACAAGCTGCGGATACTGATCTGCTGGGAAAAGTCCATCATCCTCGAAAAAGGGGGCTCTGGGAACAGGAGAATAGGCATCAGTGAAACCTGGGCACCCCTTGATGAAAGACTCAAGCTGCATTATGCAAGACACTAATTCAGGACCAGATCTGCCAGGAGCCAACGGGAACTTTCCTGGGTCAGACCCACACACAGCCACTGACCTAATCCGAGCAAAGACGGACAGCTGGGATTCATTTGGCGGCTTCCCGATCTCGGCACAGGAAGGGAACCTACCCAAGTACAGAAAGTTGAGCACAATTACTTTACTTCGTGTGATCCCCACCATGACATTTATACATTTTCTTACTGGCAAATCTTCTGGCATTCTATCTGACATATCTTCTGACATTCTATTTGGCATTCTATCTGGCATATCTTCTGGCATATGATCTGGCATATCTTCTGGCATATCTTCTGGCAAATCTTCTGGCATTCTATCTGGCATATCTTCTGGCACTCTATCTGACATATCTTCTGGCATTCTATCTGGCATATCATACATATCTTCTGGCATATATTCTGACATATCTTCTGGCATATCTGGCATCTGACATATCTTCTGGCATATCTTCTGGCATATCTATCTGGCATATCTTCTGGCATATTTTCTGGCATTCTATCTGGCAAATCTTCTGGCATTCTATCTGGCATATCTATCTGGCATTCTATCTGGCATATCTTCTGGCATATCTTCTGGCATATCTGGCATCTGACATTCATATCTTCTGACATTCTTTCTAATTCTTTCTTTTCTTCTGCACATTCTTTGTCCCATATCTTCCTACATGAGGTCCGGCAGGGAACACTTGGCGTGGATACTCGCGGTTGAGGTCCGGCAGGGAACACTGGGCGTGGATGGTCGTGGTTGAGGTCCGGCAGGGAACACTGGGCGTGGATGGTCGTGGTTGAGGTCCGGCAGGGAACACTGGGCGTGGATGGTCGTGGTTGAGGTCCGGCAGAGAACACTGTGGATCGCGGGTCGCAGTTGAGCAAGGACGACGAGGACGACGAGGAGGACGAGGAGGACGAGGAGGAGGAGGACGAGGCAGGAGGAGGCGGAGGAGGAGGAGGAGCAGGAGGAGGAGGAGGAGCAGGAGGATCAGGAGGAGGAGGAGGCAACTGACATAAAATCTAACAACCCTCACCTGGCAGGTGGGGAAAAACAATGACATGTTGCGTGCGTGCACGGGCAAGCTTCTTCAACTTCTTGGCCGAAAGTCCAGGGCCAGAGCACACAGCAAACACCTCCAAGGATGGGCTGGGCCATGGAAAGGCTGCGGTTGACAGAGATGAACCCTGTCGCTTGGCTTGAAAGGAACGGAGCAAAGTCCATGAGAAATGGGTCCTAGTGGCAAAAATCAAACGTGGCAAACAAAGACACCAGGACTGAAAATCAAAGCTCGCGTTGAACAGGATCCGCATTGAGATTGTCCGAAAAGCCTGATACAAATGAATTCACTGTCCCTCCTCCTGATCCACCTCCTGCTGAGGCTTTTGGCTTCCCTTCTGACCTTTTGCTCCTTTCTTCTTTGGGGCGGCCTTTGCGGCAGGGTGTTTGTCCTCGCAGGCAGAACCTTTCGATCCTGACAAGTCGCTTCGCTTTGTCTGGATTGCATCCAGCTCTTTGAGGTAAGCCAGTGCAGTCGTGATCCACTTCTGATGTGCCAGAGGGGCGAATGAACGGGACCTGCTCAAGGCAGTTGTCTGTCTGTTGACAAAAATGCTCGATGGCAAATCGCCCTGTAGGCAAAGGACACTGGCCATCAAGGGCTGCCTGCTCTATGGTGACGCTGTGGAGCGCCGTGGCATCCCGGGCGGCATTCCAGTTCTCTGTTTGAAGGTAGTCCATGATAGTCATGACCTGGTACATCAACATGCCTAAATCCCGGTTTTTTGAGTAACCACGAAAACGCTCTAAATACTTTGTGCCACATACCCCCGTCCATCAGCTGGCGGTAGCCCCCATCCACTGGAACTGTGGGAGGCATTCTGCGGGCCATGGCTTGCATCACACTCTGAAAGAAGAGGCCCTTCTGACTCACAAGCTCGGTCTGCAATCGAGCCCTCCCTGAAGATCCCCTGGTGCCTGCAACTGAGAGACCCCCTAAATCCACCATAGGGTCGGAAGATGACTGGGCAATTTGGCTTACCAGGTTGTTCAAAGCAGTTGACTGGGCTAGCACCGCTTGAGCAAGCATGTCGTTGGGGATCGCCTCGGCTGATCCTGGCTTTTCCTTCTCCAATTCCAAAAGCTCCTGGAGTTTTGCCAAAGCAGGGGACAGCAACAAACCAGGGTTCTTTGCATGACTGGTCCTGGGAGGCGTCTGGATCTGACTCACGACAGCGGATGGAGCCAAACGGGGCCCCGGCATCCATCTCCTGGCTTTCGCGTGGCTTTTGCTTTTCTGGCAGGCATCTTCGGAACATCCCTGGAGTCCGCCTTCCGCAGCGTAGAATTCCAGACCCGACCCTGCTTCGGCAGACTGAATCCATTCTAAAACCTGAAGCAAAAGAACACCTGGATCTGGAAGAGCATATGGCTGATCTGGATCGAAGGAAAAGGCTATGTTTTCGAAGGACTGGGGAGGACGAAGCAAATCCACAACATGCGACTGGAAATCCACCACAAGGCATTGCAAGTCCGAACCAGTTGGGTTTAACCGACCTCCATCCAAGACCACACCTGGAACCTCGAACAGCCGAGGTTGGGAACAGCCAACAAAAGTCCATCGTTCCGGCGGAGAACTGCGAGGACCTTTACTTCCAAGGTTCCATCCAGCTCTTCTCCATCTGGCCATGTGAGAACATAAGGCTCCACATCCTTGGTCTAGAAGCACCACGAAGTAGACAAGGGCTTCACACTCACTGGCAAATGCGTGGCTGACAGAACTGGCACCCCGACCGGAGCTGAAGGAACCCAAAGCTGACCAGTAGCTGCCAGGAGAGCGAAACACCACAGGACAATCCAGACCCTCACAACGAAGCACCGCGTAAAACCTGCAGCGCAAGTCCAACGGTTCAGACCTATTAGGTGAGGAGGCTCTTTGATCCAACACTGCACGCGCCCACTGACCAGCCTGCCAAGCTCTACGAATCCGGAACTGACCAGAAGAGACAGAACCCCCAAACGAGGAGCCCGCGAAATCCAAGCAGCAGGGCAGGAAGCAAAAGTCGAGGCGACTTGATCCCTGGATTCCAACACACGAGGACGACCAGAAGCAGAGGAATCATCAGCTGAAGAAACAACCTCAAAGGAGTTCTCAGACTCCGCAGTTGAAGGCCCAAGGCCAGCAAGGGATCCTGTGATGAGAGACAGGGCCTCCGACGCACGCTCAGGTGGTCCACGGACAGTAACCAAAAGGCCTGCCAGCGTAAGGGAGAGCTCAACCACTTCGTCGTCGTGGCTGCGGAGCGGGGTGCTCGTGCAAGTAACGGGGCAGACGAGTTAGCCGGGAATCCTTTGCCGAAGGTGGACGAAACCGGAGGACACCAGATTCAGAAGCAGGCAAAACCCCACAAACAAGAAACCAGGCAAGAAGTCCACACAGGCAAAATCCAACCAACAGACCCAGGAGGAAGGCAGCCAACAAAGAGCCAAGTCCAGGGCTGTTGCAGTGCGCAGGACAACCCAAACCAAAGAAGTTGGACCGGAGAGCGTAGGAAAGGACAGAACCGACACGAAGGAAGGAGTCCATCCACCTACACTTGACCCTTGAGCGACGGCATGTGAATCAGTGGAGTGCTTACAATCAACTTCATCATTCTTGATCCAGTTTGCGCGAGGGATGAAACAAACAAACATACAGTATTTGCATGTATTTGCGTCCCCTTTCTCCATGACTTCACTGGATTAGTGATCGTTCATCCAAATGTAAAATGCTTCAGGATTGCGTTTTAATCCGCTGCGCGACATGCATTTTTTGCGACACGGTTGAAACTCAAACATGTTCAAATCACTCCAGCCAAATGTGCCGGGCCTTCCGGTCCCACATGAACAGGAACCAGCTCCACTATCCACGGAGCAAAAGTGGGAGCCATCTTGGAATCCTGCAGGCTGCTTCTGCCATCTTGATAGTGCCATGGCAACAATCCGAGGCGACTGTGGCTTGACAAGTTGCGGAACCATGGCAGTGAAAAGTTCTTCTGCATCAATGTTCAAATGTATTGTTCCTTCAGTTTGCTCCGGAAGTCACAGTTGCAAAGAACCTTCTCTCACGTCGGAGCCAGGCTATCCTGTGAAACAAGGCCCGAGTCTTGGAGGGAAGCTTTCCAGACTTTGTCCACATCGCGAGCCGCAGCCATCCAAGGGTAGCAATGTCGAAAAGCCGTCCTGAAGAAAAGACAATGAAGACGAGGGTCACTCTGCATTTCAAAAAAGCACAGGTTCAGACAACCAAACGCAACAGAGATTCCCTTCACTTCCCTGAACAAACATAGAAGGAGTCAGAAGTGAACCTTCGGCCATCCGAGCACCAAGCGGAACAAAATATCAGAACTAAACGTGACAACTTTGGTTTCTCACAGGGTCCTTCAGTTCCAACTCTGCAGCTTCTTGCAGGGTGAAGTTCCCCGTGGCTGCCTGAGCTTGCTCCACACTGGGATCATTCAGCATCCACACATACGCATTGCTTCATTGGCAAAACATACGCATTGCTGAAACCTTGGCTTGCTTAACAGGCTGAATGTCAGCAAATCAACGAACAATCCAGGAATTTCATGCACTTACCTCGGATACTGTTTTCACATCCAAGCTGCTCTCTTATGGAACAAATGGAGGCAATCCTCCAGGCCACAATCTCCGAACTCGATGAAATGAGAGAAGCGAGACTTCACCCAAGGATTGGTGTCCAACATCTTGTTCCTGGCATCCCAAATAATGCTCTGCAATGCTCTGTACGGACTCAGGCTGAAATTTACATGGGAGTTGACTGAGCTCAGATCCGATGGCAAATGAATCAAATATATGACAATTTGGCGATGCCTTTGGCATTGCGGCATTGCTGCGAGCTGCAAGGGGAGCCCCCACGGGGGGAAAAGTGAAAATTCCCTAGCTTGGGGAGCCCCCACGGGGGGGAAAAGTGAAATTCCCTAGCTTGGGGAGCCCCCACGAGGGGGGAAAAGTGAAAATTCCCTAGCTTGGGGAGCCCCCACGGGGGGGAAAAGTGAAAATTCCCTAGCTTGGGGAGCCCCCGCGAGGGGGGGGAAGTGAAAATTCTTAGCTTGGGGAGCCCCCACGGGGGAAAACCACCCTTAGCCCCTCTCACGGACCGAAATAAACCTGCGGTGTGGGCGGCCACCCCACGCGAAGCGGGGTGAATACCTTGGAAAAACCAAAAAAAAACAATAGGCTTCGGTGGTATCCCCAACAGCCGCAGCGTTTTATTTTTATAAATCTTTCTGAGGCAAGCTGGGAAGCCAAGCGCTGGAAACACCTCAGCTAGTTTTCCGTGAGTTAAATGAACCTCACCTGGCTTGGCTTCTGCAACCTTCCCCGGAACCTGTTGAACCTCACTTGGCTTTGCACCACGGCTTCCCGGAACCTTCTCCGGAATATTCTGCGGAACGCTGTTGAACCTGACCTGGCGCTGCACCAAACCTCCCAGACCTTCTCCGAAACCTTCTCCAGAACCCTATTGAACCTGACCTGGCTCTGCACCGAAGCCTCCCGGAACCTTGTCCGGAATCTTCTCCGGAACCCTGTTGAACCTGACCCGGCTCTGCTCCCACCTTCTCCGGAACCTTCTCCGGAACCAAGGCCGGAACCTTCTCCGGAACCGTGTTGAACCTGACCCGGCTCTGCGCCAAAGCCCCCGGAACCTTCTCCGGAACCTTCTCGGGAACCCTGTTGAACCTGACCTGGCTCTGCACCAAGACCTTCTCTGGAACCTTTTCCGGGACCCTGTTGAACCTGACCTCCCTCTGCACCAAAGCCTCCCAGACCTTCTCCGGAACCGTCTTCGGAACCCTGTTGAACCTGACTTGGCTCTACACCAAAGTCTCCGGAACCTTCTCCGGAACCCTGTTGGACCTGGCTCTGCACCAAAGCCTCCCAAACCTTCTCCGGAACCTTCTCTGGAACCCTGATGAACTTGACAGGCTCTGCACCAAAGCCTCCCAGACCTTCTCCAGAACCTTCTCCGGAACCCTGTTGAACCTGACCTGGCCCTGTTCTCCGGAACCCTGTTGAACCTGACCTGGCCCTGCACCAAAGCCTCCCAGACCTTCTCCGGAACCTTCTCCGGAACCCTGTTGAACTTGACCTGACTCTGCACCAAAGCCTCCCCGACCTTCTCCGGAACCTTCTCCGAACCTTCTCTGGAACCCTTTTGGACCTGACTTGGCTTTGCACCAAGGCTTCCTGGAACCTTCTCCGGGACCTTCTCCGGAACCCTGTTGAACCTGAGCGATGAAAACCATAGAAAAATTAAAGAAATCCATGGAAAATTGAAGAAAACCATGGAAAAATTGAAGAAAACCATGGAAAAATTGAAGAAAACCATGGAAAATTAAAGAAAACAATGGAAAAATTGAAGAAAACCATGAGACAATCGAAGAAAACCATAGAAACAATTGAAGAAAACTATGGAAAAATTCAAGAAAACCATGGAAAAACTGTAGAAAACCATGCAAATCATGGACAAACCAATGAAAACGATGGAAAACTCGATAGAAATCATTGAAAATTCAAAAACTGAAACCCGTCGAAAAATTGATGAACAGTGCGAGTGAGAGATTTTAGCTAGAATCGGGCGAGCAACATCCTGTCACAGGATGTTGCTCGCCCGATTCGCTTTGACCCTGCAGCACAAACCAAAATTTTATGGCAACAGGCGTCGACACCTCTGAAAGCTTTGACACAGTAACATCTGCATCATGACAATCATGACAGTGAGATACCGTATCTTCTTGGACTGTCGTCATTTTCCCAGGCCTCTCTCACAGTTGTTGGACTTCTTGCCCCAGGGCTATCCGGGGGCGAGTCCTTCCGAATCAATTCAAATCAGAATGCTGTTCATAGTCTGTAAGTACAAGTATCGGAAGTATCGGAAACCGAGGCACCAAATTAAAAGGACACACTTTCCTTGAAACCTATCGATGTTGCTCGCCCGATTCGCTTTGACCCTGCAGCACAAACCAAAATTTCATGGCAACAGGCGTCGACACCTCTGAAAACTTTGACGCAGTAACAACTGCATCATGACAATCATGACAGTGAGATACCGTATCTTCTTGGACTGACGTCATTTTCTCAGAGGCCTCTCTCACGGTTGTTGGACTTCTTGCCCCAGGGCTATCCGGAGGTGAGTCCTTCCGAATGCATTTGCATGTTGTGATCTGAGGCAACTTTAAAACCCAAACAAAATACGTTCCTTGCATTTCCTTGCATGTTTGGGACAGCCAAGTTATTTTGCTAACGCCGGCGTTACCAACGTGGAGGAAAACGGTGTGTTTTGCATATTGCACGGTCACTTCATGTTCTGTTGCACTCAACATGCATACGTCATGCTAGACTCAACATACACACGTCATGCTACGTCTGGGGTGGGGTGGGGTGGGATAATGTTCTATTGCACTCCACATACATGCGTCATGGCACGATGGGGTGGGGCACTTAACATACTAAACATACTTAACATACTTAACATATGCGCGACGCTACATCATGGTCTCTGGTACTTAGCATACTTAACATACTTAACATATGTGCTACGCTGCATCATGTTCTCTGGTACTTGCCATACTATGCGCTACGCTACATCATGTTCTCTGGTACTTCACATACTTAACACATGTGCTACGCTACATCATGTTCTCTGGTACTTAACATACTTAACATACTTAACATACTTAACATATGTGCTACGCTTCATGTTCTCTGGTACTTGCCATACTTAACATATGTGCTACGCTACATCATGTTCTCTGGTACTTCACATACTTAGCACATGTGCTACGCTACATCATGTTCTCTGGTACTTAACATACTTAACATACTTAACATATGTGCTACGCTACATCATGTTCCCTGGTACTTGACATACTTAACATATGTGCTACGCTACATCATGTTCCCTGGTACTTGACATACTTAACATGTAACGACGGCGCTACCTTGTCTTTTCAAGTCCTCTGTGACGGCATTTTGCTCGCCAGGTTCCCTTTGTCCCTGCAAACACGGATCAGAATCTAAGCAACGACACGTCACCACCGCCTCTGAAAAGCACGCCAAAACTAGTTGACAAAATACTGCTTGCATGGGAAAAGGATCAAAACTTGACGATGACATCCAATCTTCAATTAAAACGGTTTTCCTCTGACTTGCCTCTCGCACAGTTCTTGGACTTCTGGCCCCAGGGCTATCCGGAGGTGAGTCCTTCCAAATCAATTCAATTCAGAATGCTGTTCGTAATCTGTAAGATCTGTAAGTACAAGTATCGGAAGTATCGGAAACCGAGGCAACAAATTAAAGGGACACACTTTCCTTGAAACCTATCGAAACGATCTGTTCACAGCACATTCTCTTTCCAGTCCTCTGTGACAGGATGTTGCTCGCCCGATTCGCTTTGACCCTGCAGCACAAACCAAAATTTTATGGCAACAGGCGTCGACACCTCTGAGAACTTTGACGCAGTAACAACTGCATCATGACAATCATGACAGTGAGATACCGTATCTTCTTGGGCTGACGTCATTTTCTCAGAGGCCTCGCTCACGGTTGTTGGACTTCTTGCCCCAAGGCTATCCGGAGGTGAGTCCTTCCGAATGCATTTGCATGTTGTGATCTGAGGCAACTTTAAAAATCTAAACAAAATATGTTCCTTGCATTTCCTTGCATGTTTTGTGACAGCCAAGTTATTTTGCTAACGCCGGCGTTACCAACGTGGAGGAAAACGGTGTGTTTTGCATATTGCACGGTCACTTCATGTTCTGTTGCACTCAACATACATACGTCATGCTAGACTCAACATACACACGTCATGTTACGTCTGGGGTGGGGGTGGGGTGGGGTAACAACGTCCTGGTACTCCAACGGCATGTTCTATTGCACTCCACATACATGCGTCATGGTACGTCTGGGGTGGGGCACTTAACATACTTAACATACTTAACATATGTGCGACGCTACATCATGTTCTCTTACTCTTGTACTTAACATACTTACCAGTAGTACGGCACAAGGCAGTGGCGGAAGTTTCAAAAATAGGAAACCTATAGGAGAGATTGGTTGTTGTGAATCAGGGATGGCAGAGCGAATCCACTGATGGACCGAAAGATGCTTGAGGTCTCCTCTCTTTCTCTCTCTTTCTCTGACTATCTACCTACCTACCTACCTATCTATCTTCTATCTAACTATCTATCTATCTATCTATCTATATCTATCCATCTATCCATCTATCTATGATTTCTATCTATCTGTCTATCTGTCTATCTGTCTACCTGTCTATCTGTGGTGCAGTGTCATTCAGTGTCCGGTAGTGTTGTGTAATGTAGTGAAGTGTAGTGGAATGTAGTGTAGTGCAGTGTAATGTAGTGTAGTGTAGTGTAATTTAGTGTAGTCGAGTGTAGTGGGGTGTAGTGTAGTTGTAGTTGTAGTTGTAGTGTAGTTGAGTGTAGTGTAGTGTAATGTAGTGAAGTGTAGTGGAAGGTAGTGTAGTGTAATGTAGTGTAGTGCAGTGTAATGTAGTGTAGTGGAGTGGAGTGTAGTGTAGTGGAGTGTAGTGTAATGTAGTGTAGTGTAGTGTAGTGGAGTGTAGTGGAGTGTAGTGGAGTGTAGTTGTGTAGTTGTAGTTGTAGTGTTGTGGAGCGCAGCGTAGTGTAATGTAGTGTAGTGG